GGTTCAGCCGTTTTGACGTATATTGAATACAAACAAACAGAACACCCAGACATGCAAAGTCTATATAGACGTTGAATTGTTGAAGCAACACAGATAAGGGTTAAGACGAAAAAGACAATTATGCGGAAACCCCTTTTAAAGATAACATTTTCCTTATATTCTGTTCTTAATAAAACGCGTCTATCCTTTTCTTTTTATTTCTGACGTCTGTATATATGGTTCCAGATAATTCAATTAACTAGATCAAATTAAAGATATAGAAAACATCTCCAGTCTGAGAAGAGGTAGATACATATAGATTTATCTAAAATTGTATTTATGTATGATGCATTATGCATGATGCAAATGAATTAATTCATTAGGAATTTGTGTAAATGCATGATGCATTTATGTAATAATGCGTGATGCATTTATGTAATAATGCGTGATGCATTTATGTAATAATGCGTGATGCATTTATGTAATAATGCGTGATGCATTTATTTAATAATGTGTGATGCATTTATGTAATAATGCGTGATGCATTTATGAAATAATGTGTGATGCATATATATAATATTTCATGATGCAAATATGTAATAATGCATGTTGCATAACGTATACGTATCATTGCATAATGCATATGTATCAATGCATGCATGCATATATTTATGCACACAGGGGTTGATTTACAAAGTACATAGATACAAAGTACACCGTACACTGTCTGTAAATTGTACAATGTAAATACCGTACATTAAACATATATCTAAGAGCGAGAACTTTTACACATTTGCATACTTTCCCCTTGGCTTTAGAAAACGTGGAGAGGGTTTCTTCACCTAGCTATGATTACCCAGGCTCGGAGCAAAAGTTCAGGATGTATTCTCAGTTTCTATTTATACTTCAAGGTTTAGACAAATAGTGCTCTAGTTCTATTCTATACACGGAGTAATCTAAACCCTAACCTTACTATATTAACTAAACATACACCTCATTTTAAACCTAAACTTAATTAAACTTAATCTAAACCTAAGCCTAAACCTAAAATCTAAACCTTAACATCTAATCTAAACTTAAACATAAACATACAATCTGAACCTAAACCTAAACCTTAACTTAAAATCTAAATCTAAACCTAAACTAGAACCTAATCTGAAGCATAAAATCCAAAACTAAACCTTAAACTAAAACCTAAACCTAACTCTAAACCTAAACCTAAACCTAAGCCTAAACCTAAGCCTAAACCTAAACCTAAGTCTAAACTTAAATATAATCTAATTTCTGAATGTAAACCTAAAAACCTAAACCTAAACTTAAGCCCAGCCCTAATCCAAACCCTGAACCTAAACCTAAACTTATATCTCCAAAAGTGTGTGTATCAAATTGTTAAAGAACAGTTGTTTTGTTTCATCATGTTTCTCGCACATGGAGCTTTCTTTTATACTTTCTACTTTATATGACTCATTCATTAATCAATGATAAATCAATATAAAGAAAACAATTTAAATTTCACCCTCTCATCAAGCGTAATTTTGACTGACACTCTAAACAAAGATAAGAATGCCGGATTCCCAACGGAACCCTTTTAATCAAGTATGAGATAGATATCAATGTTTATAATTTTGAAAACTAATTATTTTGAATTGTGATTTCTATTTAAAAGTGACTTTTCTACTGCAGGAAAACATTGAACACTTTTAAACCTAGAAAAACGACAATATCTTCCATATTATTGATCAGATATTTGTTTCAAGGGAATTGTTTTGAATCGGGCCAATTCCCATCTTTGCATGGAGAGTTAATTAAATTACGCTTACAGTCCCTTTAAATTATATTCAGTGCAAACGTAGCGTTTGCATTCAGATATGAAATTAAATCTGAAAAATTATTTCCGACATTACTGCGAACCTTATCTCTCAAAGGATGCATATTCATTAAATTGTTAAAAATTAAAATAAGGTGTCATGTGAGTGTTACATGAGTTCGAGTTTGTCAGTCGTAATTCAATTATAACAGATATTTTCTTATTTTTTAAGAATAAACCTGGAAAATGTTGAATAGGCCGTTCTATCTTTTATATTGGTTCAAATGCGTTAATCTCTTGAAAACTAGAATGAAATACGTTTATTTAAAAGTTTTGGATAGATTTCTGCGCTAAACTTGTGCGCAAACTGTTCTTGCTTTGTTACAGACTTTGTTCATTTCTATTTCGTAACTAATCAGTAACATAGCGAAGGATTTTGAATAGTTCTCTATAGGCACATTTTTGAAAATTATTTAATTACTAGTCCTTTAATATTAATATTTCAGACCCTGGGTTATGGATGCTAGTCCAGGGGACGAGGAGGCTCCTAAACAACCACTCTCAATCCTATCCCCGCTCTCCACTTGAGAATTTCAAGGAACAGTGAAGGTTGCTGCTTTGACTCTACGGGGTTTAAGTCACGTGTTTTCTTGAACAGATTTCACCCTTTACATCATGTCACGTAACGTTTAGCTTTACGATGCAACGGGATTTCCTGTTCGTATACTCACATCATTCATGGAGAGTAAAATATTACGGAGCGTCCACATCAGTCACTGGCAATAAAATATTACAGAGTATCTCCACCAGTCACGGAGAATAAAATATCATGAAGTATATATAAACCAGTCACGGAGGTTAAGCTTTTACGGAGTATTTACAACAGTCACGAAGTATAAAACATTACAGAGTATCACATTAGTCAAGAGGATAAAATATTACGGAGTGTCCACACTAGTCACCAAAGATAAAATATTACTGAGTATCTAAATCAGTCACGGATAATAAAATATTACGTACCTAAAAGTCATGGATGATAAACTATTACGGAGTATCTATAACAGTCACTCAGGATAAAATATTACGGAGTATCTACACCAGTCACGAAGGATAAAATATTACAGAGTATCTCCACCAGTCACGGAGAATAAAATATTATGAAGTATAGAAACCAGTCATGGAGGTTAGACTTTTACGGAGTATCTACACCAGTCACGAAGTATAAAATATTAAAGAGTATCACATTAGTCAAGAGGATAAAATATTACTAAGTATCTACACCAGTCACGGAGAATAAATTATTACTGAGTATCTACACATAAAATATTACGTACCTAAAAAAGTCACGGATTATAAAATATTACGGAGTATCTACACCAGTCATGGAGGATCAAATATTACAGAGTATCTACTTGTAATAAATACAGAGTCCCCACTGTAAATCTAGATAAATTAAATTGTGCTTTGTCCGTAGAGCTAAATGCCCCTATTAGTAAGTACGCAAATCATGTATTGCGATTAAACCAACCTAGATACGTAGATATATATAACCCATCAAACCCATATTGTGAGTGCTTAACTACTATATATATAAGGGTGCATAACTTGTAATTACGTAGGTTAAAACCTAACCTTTAATCTAGAACCCAAATATAGTTAGTTGATATAGAGACTCCGCTTTGATTACAGTGATGAGAATAATTTGGTCCTCGTTGAAACATACAAGCTGAGATTGTGCCCATTGGTTTTGCATTAATCGATTAAATGCTTGTGTCCATGTTGACATCGATAGCTGATTGTGCCCATTGGTTTGACATTAAACGATAAAGTGCTTGTGTCTGTGATGACATTGATATCTGATCGTGCCTGTTGGTTTGATATTGATTGATTAAGTGCTTGTGTCTGTGATGACATTTATAGCTGATCGTGCCCATTGGTTTGGCATTGATTGATTAAGTGCCTGTGTTCGTGTTGACATCGATAACTAAACATAAAGGGTGTCCTGCACTTAACATACAGGGTTTCCTGCACTAAACATAAAGGGTTGTCCTGCACTAAACATGAAAGGTGTCCTACACTAAACATACAGGGTGTCCTGCACTAAACATAAAGGGTGTCCTGCACTAAACATACAGGGTGTCCAGCACTAAACATACTGGGTGTCCCACTAAACATACAGGGTGTCCCACTAAACATACAGGGTGTCCCACTAAACATACAGGGTGTCCTGCACTAAAATAAACGGTGTCCCACTATCAATTTTTGTATTTATTCCAGACATTAATCCATCTTTGATACAGAGCCTAATTTTTAACAAAAAAGATTAAAATAATTTTTCAATTATTAATTTCTGTTGGTATTTGTTTTTGAAACCCGAACTTCACATTCACTTAATACTTTGTGCAATTTTTGTACTTAGATTTAGTTAAAATGTACAGAAAATGATTTTTGACATCTAGAAAATGTTCTTATCAATCCAAAATATTGTTGATGCATTCAGGTCCAATTTATGACTGAAATATGTCGGATTTTTGCAAAAACATTTTGATTAAAGATGAAAGGTTTGAGCAGAGTTGATATTTATGTCTCTCACATTTTTTTATCATTATGAAATTACAATTTTATCTAAACTGGCTCAATTGACGCCAAATTAGGAATTTTTTATATCTATGCATTTCTAACTAATTATAAAAGAAAAAAAATTTTAATACATTTCCATTCAAGGAATTAGTATATATTTTAATCAAGTGATTAATTTATTCATTTACTAACTTATTAGTTGATTTATTATTAAATAAATTAAGAGTTTGATCAACTAAATGATTAATTAATTAATTTGTTAAATGAATAATTACTTAAATCAACTAAATAAGTAATTGATTAATCAACTAAAAGATGAAATGATAGATTAACTCCGATATTAATTGATTAATCGTCTAAATGATCAATTAATTGATTGAATAACTAAATTTTTAATTGATCAAGTAAGTTAAGGATCGATTGATCAGCTAAATGACTTATTGGTTAAAGTTGACTAATCAATTTGTTAATTGACGGATTAATTTAATTATATAAATTTTTTTTTGCATATTTACCGATTTGATTGATTAATTGATTTGATTGATTAATTGATTTGATTGCTTAATTGAATTGATTGATTAATTGATTTGATTGATGAATTGATTTGATTAATTAATTGATTTGATTGTTTCAGATCCATGTTTGAATTGAATATATTGTTATGAACACTATAAGATTTCACCCTGGTGGCTCAGAGGGATACTGGGAACACTTGCAGTACATTTGTACACACCTGTGATACCGTGCATACCGTACATACCGTGCACACTGTGCAGTATACGCCCTCTTGTGATCTCCTAGCTTTGCAACTTGTGATTTAGTGATTTTATATTTAAACATATATCAGTGATCTAGATTTAAATCGGAAAAAGAGGAAATTTCTCTTTAAATAAAATTCGAAATGCCGGAATTAGAACGGTCTCCGGCAATGGCCTCCAACGGAAAGTACGGAAAGTAAGTAGTTTTATCAAAGGAAATTTTCTGATTTTGCACTAATTAAGCGGAATAGTTATAGGAAAATGGAATATTCGCGAAAACAAGTCGAATATAATTCGGGATCAGCCCATACCCCTTCATTTTTCGCTAACACTCCCTTTTATGATCTTTTAATTTGAGTCAGTTACAATTGTGAAATTTTCTATTAATCTAAAACATTCCTTGGTCAGGAAAATTCTCAAATCGATCTCAACAAAATACGAAAGACGATGCATTTTTTAAATCATCATCTTATCATTGTGTTCAAAATAACAATATAAAGTAGTTGACCAGTATTTATCCACTACTTCTCAATTTTATATCATCTTGGTTGAAATTAATTTCATGATCACAGTGTGTTTAAAAACACGAAGAAAAACGTTGAATAGATTTAATTAAGTCGGTTTTTTTCAAAGAATTTTCAAAACAATTTCTCACCTTGTATGAATGTGTATTTAATGTACATGGGATTAAAAAGAATGATAAGAATTTTATTAATTTATTATTTTTCCATGAAATTATTAAATTTTCGTCAAATCTTTTTAATTTTTACTGAATTATTTTTTTCACTAGAGATGGGGATAAAATTGAAAAATATGGGAAAATATGACACAAGAATAAAATACAAGATTTATAAGATTTTTGTTAATTTGTAATGTTGAGTGATTTGAAAAAAATCGTCTGCAATTCCGGGATGCATAAAGCATAGGTATAAAGGATTTAATGCAAGGAAAGTTATTTCAGAGGTGTACGCATCTTTTGTACTGCAGTGTACTGTCACCGGGCGGTAATGTAAACACAAGACGGATGTCGAAGCCTGACATGGGATCCATCTTTTACATAAAAAATCAATGAAATATTCTGGTCATAGGAAACTATTATGTGAATCATCAAAATTCAATGCTTTTAACCTCCTCGGATACTAGACGAACACTGCAGATGCATCTATTCTTGCTTACAAATTCCGCCCAGAGAGAACTGGTTTCAATATGTACGCAGAGTATACGCAACTGCAATTAACTTTCCTTGCATTACATTCTTGGGTATACACGTAATTTCAAGTGACCCTCCATTTATTGAATAAAAATGGTTTCTCTTTCTTCCAATAGATTCGTATTAATTGTTGTGCTCTAAAAAAGTGACTTGCACATTTATGTAGCAGGAAAAAAGAAGGAAATTGTCAGCATTTGACATTTTTCTTATTCTTCGATAAAGGTTAAAGAGTGCTGTTGTGAACTGTTTGAATCGAACGACTACAATCCCTTTAAATGCGCAAAGACTGATGACGTATATATGTTAATTGATTATGTGCCCTCCAGGATGTGTATTTTATATGAATGAACATCAAAATATCATGTTACAACATTATAAAACTTATCTTGTTAGAAGATTTATGTAAACCACATGAATGGAGGCTTAAAGGGACTGTACGTGCAATTTTAAATGACCCTCTGTTTTCAGAATGGACTTAAGATGTGTCCGATTTCTGACAGTACAGTTTTAACCTTCTTCTGATCAAGGATTGTAATTTAAAGAATATTCTGGATTTTCGAGGAATATGTGTAACGTCAGCTGTGTTGAGTTCATACTGTACGCTAGCATACACTCCAGTTTTTATAATTTATGTCTCTGAAAGGGTTTATATAGTTTATGGCTCTAAAAGGGTTTATATAGTTTATGTCTCTCTAAGGGTTTATATAGTTTATGTCTCTGTAAGGGTTTATATTGTTTATGTCTCTGTAAGGGTTTATATAGTTTATGTCTCTGAAAGGGTTTATATAGTTTATGTCTCTGAAAGGGTTTATAATTGCAGAAATTAAAAAAACCTTAAAAAATCACAGGGCTGAAATTGGATTGAATGGTTAAAAAACGTTGATTCAACAAATTAAAAAAATCCAAATTCTTTAAACATTTCAAACATTTTTGCGCATTTTCTTGTGTATAATAAATAGTTTTGTTAGGTGATAAAGATTTATGTTTATAGCACAGTCGAGTTTAGTGCGGGGTAGATACCACATATCTACCATAGTAGACTTACAGGGTAAATACCACATATCTACCATAGTAGACTTACAGGGTAGATACCACATATATACCATAGTAGACATACAGGGTAGATACCACATATATACCATTGTAGAATTACAGGGTAGATACCACATATATACCATAGTAGACTTACAGGGTAGATACCACATATCTACATAGTAGACTTACAGGGTAGATACCACATATCTACCATAGTATACTTACAGGGTAGATACCACATATATACCATAGTAGACTTAAAGGGTAGATACCACATATATACCATTGTAGAATTACAGGGTAGATACCATATATCTACCACAGTAGACTTACAGAGTAAATACCACATATCTACATAGTAGACTTACAGGGTAGATACCACATATCTACCATAGTAGACCACAGGGTAGATACAACATATCTACCATAGTAGACTTACAAGGTAGATACCACATATCTACCATAGAAGAATTACAGGGTAGATACTGTATATCTACCATAGTAGACTTACAGGGTAGATACCACATATCTACCATTGTAGAATTACAGGGTAAATACCACATATTTACCATAGTAGACTTACAGGGTAGATACCACATATATACCATAGTAGACTTACAGGGTAGATGCCACATATTTACCATAGTAGACTTACAGGGTAGATACCACATATCTACCATTGTAGAATTACAGGGTAAATACCACATATTTACCATAGTAGACTTACAGGGTAGATACCACATATTTACATAGTAGACTTACAAGGTAGATACCACAACATATCTACGATAGAAGAATTACAGGGTAGATACTGCATATCTACCATAGTAAATTTACAGGGTAGATACCACATATCTACCATAGAAGACTTACAGGGTAGATACCACATATCTACCAGAGTAGACATACAGGGTAGATACCACATATCTACCATAGTTGACTTACAGGATAGATACCACATATCTACCATAGTAGACTTACAGGGTAGATACCGCATGTCTACAATAATATAATTACAGGGTAAATACCACATATATACCATAGTAGACTTACAGGGTAGATACCACATATATACCATAGTAGACTTACAGGGTAGATACCACATATCTACCATAGTTTACTTACAGGGTAGATACCATATATATACCATAGTAGACTTACATGGTAAATACCACATAAATACCATAGTAGACTTACAGAGTAGATACCACATTCCTACATAGTAAACTTACAGGGTAGATACCACATATCTACCATGGTAGACTTACAGGGTAGACACCACATATATACCATAGTATAATTACAGGGTAGAGACCACATATCTACCATAGTAGACTTACAAGGTAGATACCACACATATACCAAGTAGACTTACAGGGTATATACCACATATCTACCATAGTAGACTTACAAGGTAGATACCACATATATACCATAGTAGACTTACAGGGTATATTCCACATATCTACCATAGTAGACTTACAGGGTAGATACCACATATCTACATAGTAGACTTACAGGGTAGATACCACATATCTACCATAGTAGAATTACAGGGTAGATACCACATATCTACCATAGTAGACTTACAAGGTAGATACCACATATCTACCATAGTAGACTTACAGAGTAGATACCACATATATACCAATATTAGACCTACAGGGTAGATACCACATTTCTACCATAGTAGACTTACAGGGTAGATACCACATATATACCATTGTAGACTTACAGGGTAGATACCACATATATACCATAATGGACTTACAGGGTAGATACCACATATCTACATAGTAGACTTACAGGGTAGATAACACATATATACCATAGTAGACTTACAGGGTAGATACCACATATCTACCATAGTAGACTTACAGGGTAGATACCACATATCTACCATAGTAGACTTACAAGGTAGATACCACATATCTACCATAGTAGACTTACAGAGTAGATACCACATATATACCATAGTAGACTTACAGGGTAGATGCCACATATTTACAATATTAGACTTACAGGGTAGATACCACATATCTACCATAGTAGACTTACAGGGTAGATACCACATATTTACCATGGTAGACTTACAGGGTAGATACCACATTTCTACCATAGTAGACTTACAGGGTAGATACCACATATTTACCATTGTAGACTTACAGGGTAGATACCACATATATACCATAATGGACTTACAGGGTAGATACTACATATCTACATAGTAGACTTTCAGGGTAGATACCACATATCTACATAGTAGACTTACAGGGTAGATACCACATATCTACATAGTAGACTTACAGGGTAGATACCACATATATACCATAGTAGACTTATAGGGTAGATACCACAAATCTACCATAGTAGAATTACAGGATTGATACCACATATATACCATAGTAGACTTACATGGTACATATTCACATATCTACCATAGTAGACTTAATGGGTAGATACCAAATATCTACCATAGTAGATTTCTACAAATTAAAATTGAAATCTCTTTTACAACGATCAGATTAGATGAGTTTACAGTTTAAAACTTAATCCATTACATTTATGTAGTTTGAAATATTAAAACTAGCTACGCCCTAATACAATAGTTATGGGGTTTGAAAGATTAAAACTGCAACCTCCTTCTCTACGGTTACGGTTACGGCCTCTTTTTTATTAAAACTGCCTCCGGTTCTCTTCATGAGGCCCAGTATGTTAGAAACTGTGCTACGAATAACCTCAATCATTGAAAATTATTATTTTTTTAAAATCCTTTTAAACCCTTCTTTGGTACTTTCAAATAATTATTAAGGACATTCAGAAAATGTTTAAAAATTACAAACGTGTCTTTGATAAAGAAGGAAACGTCCGTCAACCTTTCATCGTTCAAAGGTTTAAAGGGTACCGTTGTGAATCGGGAATATCCCTCTTTAAAAAGAAGGTCACTTTTATTGCGCTTACTGTCCCAATTGATCCCTTTAAACTGCGCTGGGATTATTATGAAATACTTGAAGTTTTAGAAAATTATTTTATCAAAATATTTGTTGCTTCTAACTTTTTTAAAATATTGAATAATTCTACAAACGAAAAAACAGCTGAGTTAAAGAATCTACCGATTTTTTTGATTAAGGGACTTGCAACTTTGCTTTTCCAGATACCCTACAATTTAACTGGCTCATGCCTGAAAAAGTAGCATGCTCAATTCAAATTTAACCTTTATTTGAGTAACAATGAGGAAGAAATTGTTGTTTTCTGTTAACTTGAAATTCATAAGTTAAAATGTTTTTACTGCTTCATGAATCCGCAAGTCGGTTTTTAGCGAAAACACAATTGAAAAAAGGAAAATAAAAATATCTTTCACATTTTTGGCGAGAGAGGAACCTTTAAAGAGTACAATTATTAACCTGGCTTGCAAATCTTAAGTTTACGGAAAACAATGTATACACTGTACAGTCCCTTTAATAAAACATGAATAAGAGATTGATATAATTATCTAAGATCTCATTGTTTATTTATCTGTCTATCTGTGTATCTTATTTAGATTAACAGACACGTATTCCTTTCAAACAGGGAACTAAAAAAGTATAAAAATGTTTGGCTATGGCGTAATTTGATGATAAATATTTCACATTTTAGAGTTTAAAACTCAATTAGTCCAAAATTGACATTCATAAATTTCTCTCCTAATTAATTTAACGCTAAGTGACCCCGAAATCTAGTTTTTATACGCAAACCTGACCTTGAACAAAATCGCCGCGACAACAAAATTTCCCTTCGTAAATGAAATTTGAGTAAGTAAGGCAAATGTAATGACTGAGATCCGTAAAGAAGGAGGAAAAAGATTAGAATAAAAAGAAACCAAGGAAATAATATTATTTTTCTTAATCTTTAAAAAGAAAAATTATCTAGGAAAACTTAAAAAGCACAAATACCGATAAATAAAAAAAACACTAATAGGGCAAATTATAAGTATATTTATTTTGGTGCCAAAACATTTTTGAAAATTATTTAATTACTAGTCCTTTAATATTAATATTTCAGACCCTGGGTTATGGATACTAGTCATTTAATATTAATATTTCAGACCCTGGGTTATGGATACTAGTCATTTAATATTAATATTTCAGACCCTGGATTATGGATACTAGTCCTTTAATATTAATATTTCAGACCCTGGGTTATGGATGCTAGTCCAGGGGACGAGGAGGCTCCTAAGGATCCTGGAGCAAGAGCAGGAGGAGGAGGAGGTAGGAGTTCATTACAGGGTGTCCCACAGTAGGAGTTCATTACAGGGTGTCCCATAGTAGGAGTTAATTACAGGGTGTCCCATAGTAGGAGTTTATTACAGGGTGTCCCATAGTAAGAGTTCATTACAGGGTGTCCCATAGTAGGAGTTCATTACAGGGTGTCCCATAGTAGGAGTTCATTACAGGGTTTCCAAATAGGGGTTCATTATAGGGTGTCCCATAGTTTAGAAGTTCATTACAGCATTGCAGGGTGTCCATAGTAGGAGTTCGTTACAGGGTGTCCCAAAGTAAAAATTTATTACAGGGTCCCACATCATCAGTTCTTTACATGGTGTCCTATAGAAGGAGTTCATTAGAGATTGTCCCATAGTAGGAGTTAAATACAGGGTGACCCATGGTAGGAGTTCATTAGAGGTTGTCCTATAGTATGAGTTTATTACAGGGTGTCCCATAGTGGGAGTTCTATACAATGTGTCCCATAATATACGGAGTTCTATACAATGTGTCCCATAGTATAAGGAGTTCTATACAATGTGTCCCATAGTATAAGGAGTTCTATATCTATACAATGTGTCCCATAGTATAAGGAGTTCTATACAATGTGTCCCATAGTATAAGGAGTTCTATAAAATGTGTCCCATAGTATAAGGAGTTCTATACAATGTGTCCTATAGTATACAGAGTTCTATACAATGTGTCCCATAGTATAAGGAGTTCTATAAAATGTGTCCCATAGTATAAGGAGTTCTATAAAATGTGTTCCACATAGTTTTGACACACTATCATAAAATAATAAAATTATAATTTAGGACACACTGTCTCTGACCAAGATATTTCTGGACATCGTCATGTCTTTGTCGGGTTCCATCTGCCTAAACGTCACGGACATGGACATGGTCATGGTCATGAGGGAGAGACCACCAAGAGTGGGTAGGGTTTTATTCTTTAAAATAAATACCCTTTTTTTAGTTACAGCAGATATCTGCATTTTTTTTATGATTAACCATTCGATTCAAAAGAATTATGAAGACTTTGCTTTGACGTTCTAGTCATATAATGCCATGGACGATTCACATTAATAAACCTTAATTCTTTATATATACAGAAAATTAACAAGTGAAAAAATTACCTAAACATGATTTAAATTTAAGGTAGTTGAACTGAGTATGCAGTGTTCTGGAAAACTTCTTTAGGATTCATTTGAAACATATCAAACTTTTAAAGATCTGTAAACCCTGAGTTTAATATGTCTCAAATGAATTCGAAAGAAGTTTTCCACAACACTGCATACTAAGTTCAACTATCTTACATAGCCGGTCACTCCCTTTAATTTTGGATCAAAATCGTTTCGCACGATTTCCACGTTCTAGATGTAAAACTAGTTTGTTTCTCTATAGCAAGAAATATTCCTGATATGTATTTCAAAAACGAGCAATTAGTTGGAAACCAATGACCATCCAATTAATCCTTGTAAACGTTTATCTTGACATATATGAATGTCCCCCTTCAATTCTCCTGGGACCGATGAATGAAGTCGCTGAATCACCTACTGCCCGGTTCAATTCCTGTATAAACGATTCAAAGTTAAGAGGGTTTAGGTAACTAATTGAAGAGTGAATCAGTGATTCAGAGTTTGAACCGGTGTTAGATAGCTTAGTGACCTCTCAAATTAATTAAATTTGGCCCCAGAACGAATATTTGTCCTCCGATTTTTCTCACATATCGGTAGAAAAAGTTACTTCTAGACAGTCGAACAAATTTAATTCCTTGACTTTTACAAGGTAAAAATATGTTGGAAACTTTTAAATGAGTAGAATAAGTTAAACTCATTCCTTTCTCACTCTACCTATATTAATCCAAGGTTCTAATGCAAGGAAAGTTAATTGCTGTCGTGTATACTCTGCGTACACATTGAAACCAGTTCTCTTTGGGCGGAATTTGTAAACAAGAATAGATGCATCAGTGTTCGTTTAGTATCCGAGGAGGTTAAAAGCATTAAATTTTGATGATTTTTAAAATTCACGTAATACTTTCCTATGAGGATATGACCAGAATATTTCATTGATTTTTTTATGTGAAAGATGGATCCCATGTCAGGCTACGACATACGTCTTGTGTTTACATTACCGCCCAGAGACAGTAAACTGCAGTACAAAAGATGCGTACACTTCTGAAATAACTTTCCTTGCATTGCATCTTTGTATTAACCTATCTTTTGTTTAACTTAACTCAATCTCAATCAAGTTTCCTACTGATGTTTTTTTTAAAATTTTATTAATTAAATATTTATGATTTTTTTATATTTATCATGTAATTTAAAATGTTTTATCATAGTAAGTTAATATTATTACTAATTAAGTGGCAGAGCGTACCGAGGAACCCAGTAAGTTTAAACAAAACATAAACCTTTAGTTGTAGAGTTCCATTGTTAGAATCAGATATAGATTAAATACTCAGAGTTATAGAATGATTTAAGGTATATGTATATACTATAAGGAAGGGGGAACAGGGTTTGTAAACAATTAACTGTGACGTATTTAAACTACTCAGGAACTGGTTTATGGTAAATAAACAACAATTAGTCAAATCTTTGTTATTGTTTTGAAGAAAATACTAGTTTACAGACTCGCAGTCAAATGTGTACAACCCTATTAACCTTGCATTAACATACATACCTTGCAATACGCATTTACATAAAAAAGGTAGGAAGTGTTCAAATTTTGAGATTAACACTCGGTAAAACTTATTTTTTTCAATTTGCTTTTTATTCAAAAAACTATTTTAGGAAGAAAAGAAAGTGTAACTGGAACAATAAGTATATATTTAGACTCAAACCACAGAGTTTTCAATGTTAAACAATGAAAAGTGAACGAAAAAACCTTTGCACGTTTTATAAACTGCACACAGTTGCTATATTTTGCTTACATTTTTTTTTACATAGATGTTTAAAGATATATTTTTCTTTTTACGTTAAAATTTTGTAAAAATACGAGACAAAAGATATTTTAAGGCATGCATGATCACATAAGGCAAAAAATGAAAAAATGTTATCATTGAAAAAACTTAAGTTTTGTGTTTTATTTTTGAAAAATTATTGCGAGCGCTATTTAAGAGACATTTTCAAATACCTATTGTTTTCATCAAACTCTTATTTTTTCTAAGATTAGATCGATTTTGAGAATATTTTGAAAATAAAAGAAGAGGGCTAATGTTTTTATTTCTCAAGTTCTAAAGAATCCATAAAAACAAAGTAATCTATATAAAATTTTCAACATTTTTTTCCAACGCCGGGCCCTTCAGCTAGTGGAGACTTAAAACTTCAGAATATCTCTTTTACTATTCTCTTGGTTCAATAAACAATTTTTTCAATATTATAGGGTCGAAACCCTCTGATTTTTAGTATATACTACTTTCAGAGATTCCAATACTGCCTAATGAATAATAGAAATATTAAAATGAAAAAAAAAAATTTTTTAAGCACTAACAATATTCTGAAAATATGTGGAAAGTTCTAAAAGATATCTTTTTTTGCATGAATTGTTCAAAAGGATTCAAATAATTTGAATGTTTTGATTTTAACATAATAAATTGTTCATGTATGTAAACAATTCACGTGTTTTATTGTTCATGTCTGATGTATGTATTGTACTGTATGTATTGTACACAATACACGCGTGTTCAGTATTTCAGAATTGTAAAAAATTACCATAGATTTAATGCATTAAATGCATAAAAATACATAGAACAGGACGATTCCGGAACGCATTTAAAAGTCTTCATTTATCGGCAAAAAAAAAATTAAGTTTAAAAGTTTAAAGAATTTGTTTATAACTTTTTGACAAGGATTTTAAACTTTGTAGCCCGAGAATATTAAAGTATTAAAACTAAACTGTTTGAAACCAATCCCAGATTAAAACATGATTAAATTTGTAAATACAAAATATAAGCAATCAAAGTAATTAATTCTTTACCACAAACTCAAATTTTCTAATCCCTTTATCTTTGCAACTTGATATTTCGAATTTAGATTATTTTGATCTAACAGAATTCATAGTTTCAAATATCTAATGGCTACGATATTGGGTTTAATTCAATTCCCTTATTTAGAAAATAAAAGATATTATTTCTTTTATTTCTTTCTCTTTTATATTTATTTTTTATTTGTTTCATCATTTATGTAAATACAATATTTTATTATCTTATTATTATTGTTATAAAAGTAGAAATGAAAAACAAAGAGTTAAGAGTTAAAATTATTTTTTTCATTTATCTCAGATATTCTCTTAAGGAAATGAGTTTTTGCCACAAACTCAAAATGTATAATCCCTATATCTGTGCAACCCAATGTCGTACACCTTTGATATTTCAAACTATGAATTTTGTGAGATTGAAAGGTCAGAGTTTGAAATATCTAAGGTTTACATCATCAGATTTATACGATATAGGAACTAGAGAATTTGAGTTTGTTGAAAAACCTCAGATCCTTTGTGTTTGAATTTTTTCTTTATTTTTGATTGTTCTTTGATTTTTAGTGACGCCCCCGGCCCAACGGGTTCAGTTTATCCTTGGGGAGGAAGGTCGTCAGGAGCCCGCCCTAGAGACTCACCCGGTCTTCTCCGAGATGGAGGAGCTCTTCGTCGGGGAGGACGGGGATATGGAGTGGAAGGAAACAGCAAGGTTAGTTCAAGGGAAGAAAATGATGCTTTCTTTAAAAGCTGTTTATTTTCATTGTTATAAAAAAATGAATCCAACATAGTTTTTGTGAATGAACTTTTCTTCTTTAAGTTCTTTATTTTGAAATTCCACAAGAGTAAATGTATATATTTCATATTTTCTGTTTTCAAATATTTTCAATGGATTTGGTTTTCCTAAAATGTTAGGAATTTTAATATAACATTCAAATTGGATTATGCATCGTTGATATGGAATAATACATTTCATTATAAAACCTCCATCATACAAAAGTGAACAGTGTATTATCTATTCTATATATACTCAACTTTGTTTACTTATCCATAACTACTATTGTACACTATTCCTGGCTTCTAGTAAAGGGAGAGACCGGCTGGGTAAAATATTTGAACCGAGAGTGCAGAATTATTTGATTTATTTATTTGATAACAATAATACATTTTTACGGTATATAATTTCTAACTAAGAGCTTAGATTCTTTTTTAAAATTTCATTGTAAAGGACGGTTCGCAGAAGAAACCAGACGAATTATTTAACAAATATTCTACAGTAAACTAACTTGTTTTTAGGAACATATTTCTTAATATAAAGGAACTCAGTTTTTGACACAAACTCAAATTTTCTAATCCCTGTTTCTTTAAAACCTGATGGTTTGATATGTCAAACTTTGGCTCTTTGCTCTAACAGAATTCTTAGTTTGAAATATTAAAGATATACAACATCGGGTTGCATATGAATATGGGGATTATAATTTTGAGCTTGTGGCAAAAACTCATTTCCTTTGTGAAAAAATCAATGGTAGAATCACACATTTCTTTACCATCGATATATTGATTTTTTACTCTATATGAATTTGTTCGCAGATTTCTTCAAATTCTTCAAACGTCGTCTTTAAAAAAAAATCAAGGAAATCGACGGAAAACATGAAAACTTAAACATTGCAGGAACCGATATCTAAATAAGATTACTTATTTTCAATGATAAGAGTTTTCATCTTGTTTTACAACAAATTCTTTAACAGTTTAATTGTAAAAAAGTGTTTCTTCTGCGGGCCATCCCTTCTCTATTTACGTTATAATCCCGTGGTATTCAGATGGGTAAAGTTTGAAGAGGATGTAGAGGAGGGAGGGAATAGATGGAGTAAACCCCATGTTGCAACTCTATCCTTGCATTCTCTTTTCGAACTCAGATCTTTCCTGCTCAATGGAACAGGTAAAAATTATCAATTACAGGCCCACCATAGTTTCATTAGAAGTAAATATTTCCATTTACTGATAGCGCCGATTACCCCCTCCCCCTCCATACAATAGTTCCAATCTGTAGAAGAGGATGCCATGAGCAATGATCAGTTTTCGAACACAGATTTTTTGCCAAGAAATATAGATCTATAACAATGTCAGGGTTACAATACAAGGGCATGGCTTGGGAATTATGAGATATGTTTATCTAAAATTTGTCATATCTCCAAATTTTTAAAAGCCCTAATCCGTACTTTTTAATAAACATGACAATGTTCAGGTAAAAGGCGCCATCTTGAAAAAGCATCGTCATCAGTTTGAAGGTCTTAAGAAGCAGGCTAATGAGAACGGTAGCTCCACAAATATGGCGAAGCTCCCACTGATCAGGTAAACAGCTGACTTAAGAGGAAACAGCTGACTTAAGATCAAACAATTGACTTATTATTAAATAGCTGACTTAAGAGGAAACAGCTGACTATTGAATAGCTGACTTTAAAACAGGTTCAGATAGCAACACTTGAACTATACAGGATGCAATACGCGTACTGTATGTTTATATAACACAAATGCGTATTTCCTACAGATAGCAGCAAGGGGAGAAAGGAATATAGAAAGTAATCAATTTGCTATAGATGTCTCTCCTTGCACCTTCTCTCAGAGGTTCAAAAATTAGTTGTAATTTAGGAAGGAGGTTTCTACCTGCCTGCATATCTATATATATATTATCTTTGATATTAGTTAGTTTGCTAATTTTACGATATTCTTAAATACTTATCTAAAACTTATTAAAATTTAACAGATTTTTCAGGAATTGAGTCTTTGCCACAAACTCAAATTTTCTAATTCCTATATCTTCGCAACCTGATCTTGTAAACCTTTGATATTTCAAACTTAGATTATTTGATCTAACAGAATTTATAGTTTGAAATATCTAAGGTCCACGACATTGGGTTGCAGAGATATTAGGATTAGAAAATAAGAGCTTGTGGCAAAAACTCAGTTTCTTAAAAGATGAAGATCACTTTTTTAATTGAATACTTCATCTTTTTTTCAGGTCTTTAGCAGATATTGGTAAAACTCACTCGTCCTCAAAAAGTAAGTTTTTTGTAAAAAGTATTGTATTGCTTAAATCCTTAGATAAAATCCACCCCTGCACATTTTTATACATTTTTTATTTTTCAAGAAATTTTGTTTTACTCTGTTATATTTTTATTAAATAATAGTTTTTATATTTTCTAATTTTGTTTGTATTTGTTGCTTTTAAAAAACAGACAGGGGGTAAATTATTGCTTAATATTTTTTGCTTTCACCTTTTTAATGTCTCTGGTAATTATTTCAGGGGATTTTGATTCTGAATCTGGATCAAGTAGTATGTACATTTATATGTGTGTCATTAATTATAGGTTTCAAAAACTGATTTTTTAGAGGACTTTAAAATTGCACAAGAGCAGAAATTTTATTAATGATTAATAATATAGAAATAGTTTTATGTTGTTCTTGCTTTGAATATTGTTAGGCTTAGGGAACTGCTTGTTTAAAAAACAAGTAAGCAAATGAAATATTTTAGGGAATAGTGTAACAAAAGAAAATCTTCAAATTTTCAAAGTTTTTAAAATATAGATTTGATTTTTTGAAGCATTTTTCATTTTTTATTGACACTAACCTTTTATGTTCACCATTAGTTTAGTTTTGAAAAATTTTATGTGCTGGCCATTTTATCTACCCCCACTGTGTACCCATAGGCATGACGAAACTCCGTGACATGTTCCAACCTTCAGCAGGGGCAGGTAGTTAGATCAAAACCGGTTTAAAAGGTGGAGGGTAAACATTTGAAATCATCGTAAGAAATTGGTCATTTTTAAGGTCATATTATATTGTTGATATTGTACAAAATGTGGAACTTTTAGCTTTTTTTCTAATTTCAAGTCCTAATTAATTCAAGTTCGAAAAAAATGATCAGCGTTGATTTGAAAGCTTGATTGGGTAACGATTTAATTTCGTCTTTTTTATATTTAAAAATCTCAACAATGTGAGATAGAATGCTTATTAAATATGTTTAATCTTGTCCTGCCTTCTTATTTTCTCATCCTATAAACGAAAAATGTTTTTTAGCCACAAAAAGAAGAAGAAAAAATAGTTTCATAAATATTATCGATTTCCATCACTAACACAATAAGTTTTTATTCTCTTGTCCCTCTAGTAGGAATTACTTGTTTTGTTTTCAATTAACATGCAAGGCCTGAACTTTTCGATATAATGAATAAGTATAAACTAATTTTCTATTTTTTAATTAATTTTTAGACTTTAAAGTCGTCTTCATCATTCAGAAAAGTTCATGGCTGCTGTAGCTTTGATTAATTATTGCATGGTTTAATTCTGTTTTTAATGCACGTTTTGTTTGAAACCCATACAGATTGATTTAATCTTGTTTAGTTATTAAATAGATAAATCTTTCAGGGAATTTTAACAAAATTTAATTAAAATTAAGATAAACCTGAGTTTGAAGATTAAATTTCAGTTTATTTTTATTTTAAATTGTTAATTCTTAGAAGATAATATGATCATAAAGTTAAAAGTTTCCAAGAGAAAAGATTATGTTTAAATCTTTTTTATAAATAAATTGCCAAATAGATTGACTGATTGATAGAGATTAAGTTTTATATTGATAGAGATTATGAAATAGATTGAAAAAGGTGATTGATAGAGATATTTGATAGATTAATTTAAAATGTTTTTAAATTGATGAATATTTGTAATAGATTGAGCATATTTATATAGATAGATAGGAATAATTTAATTAATAAATAAATTTTTTTTTAACTTAAAATAATTGATTGATTGATTGGCTAGGTTCCGCTACTGTAGGCCAGGGCAGTGATCCTAATTTACCAAGAAATAAATCTGATGTGGAAAATAATATGGTGAAATCGGAGAGTTCAGCCCAGCTGGAGATAAAGGTATATGATAAAACAGATAAAACAATGGTTTCCTTGATCTTAATTTCAAGTTCACTTTTATTTTTTTCTTCCAAAATGTTCATATCGAGTAAATGTTTAATGTTCATTGTTCAATATTCAATATGTTCATATCAAGTAAATGTTAAATGTTCATTGTTCAATATTCAATATGTTCATCTTTAAAAAAAGGAATTTATATTGTTTTATTTTGTCTGAGATCTTTTATTGATAAAAGCCTGTCTTTTATCTCAGTTTTAGAGGGGGAATATGGGGGGTACGGGGGGGAAGTTGGTTTAGAAATAAGAAATCTAAATTTGTGAAAAGAAATAAACGATTTTTCTAGAAAATACACACCCCTTAGTTCTAAAATGAAGAAGAAAAAAATCATAAAAAAAACTTTGAAAGAAAGTGATTTTACAATATTATTCATAACAAAAAGAATAGCTAAACTAGGTCACTTACATAAATTTTTTAAATTCTTAAATTTTGTGTTTTTAGATGAACAATCACTTTATGAAAAAGATCCCTAAGGGGGCTGAAGCCTCAAATATTCTAGTTGGAGAGGTAGACTTCCTGGACAAACCTTTATCTGCCTTCATTAGGTAAATATACTTAGATTATCATAAATAAAAAATTCTCAAGATTTGAAGATAGAAATATGTTAGGTTTTAGTCATATCTCCTTTAATTGAAGAGCTATTGAGAAGAACAAAAATGTTTTGAATTTTTATAATATGGAAACAAATAGATTTGTCTTTCTTATACTAAAATCAAGCTATAAGGTCACAAAGTACCATTGCATAGATTTTACCTTCTCATTCAGTCAAAGTTGTAGTCACCCCTGATTAACCAGAGTTAGAGGCATTCGGTTTCTTCAATTTGAAATCATACTCGTTTTGGTTTATATTTTGACAATCTTTAAAGTTAAAGGATTTGTTTGTTAAATACTTTTTATTCAAAACATATATGCCGGCAAAAAAGTATTTGAAAAAGAAGGCTGAAAAATTATGTTTAATAGGAGTATTTTTGATCGAAAGTTATAGCTTTCTGGAATATTGATTAATATTTAATGAATATTTAATAAAATGATTAAATGTACTAAAAAATAAAAACGCTTTAAATAGATTAAGAAAATATCTACTTATTTATAAACATCTATTTTCCTGATGAAAATATTTTAGATATTTTGGAAAAAGAATCTTTATGTATAAGTCTTGTTATCTCCTCGAGATTTTATATTTTCTCTATTTACAAAAATAAATGCGCTCTGAATTTAAAACAAAATATAACAATACATAAACATTTTCGTAATTTTTCTCAGAAAATAGTGATTTGAATCTAGTAAACAGTAAACTATCTTATCGAAAAATGACATATGACAAAATAATTCTATCGCTCATAAGATAAAAAGATAAAATAGAAATTTTACAAATGTTTGTATGTTACAAATGTTTGTGTTGTACTGTAAGTGTACTGTACACAGGTTACAGGAGGCGACCATCCTGGGAGATTTGACCGAGGTTCCTGTACCGACACGCTTTCTATTTGTACTGCTAGGACCAACTGTAAGTATTTGATTATTTATTGAAGTAATTTAAATAGACTGTACATAGATTTTAAGGGACCTTTCATTCATGGAGTGGCATACTATTTAATATTTGCCTGAATAATAGGTTGATTATTTTTAAAGCGCGGTTTATTTATTGTGAAATTTTGAATGAAAAAAAATTATGAAAAGAAGGAAATTGCAAATTTAACGAAATCTTCCTCAAATAAAGGTTTAAAGAGTACAAAGTACCTAGTGAATAATACTTACCACTAAAATGGAGGGTCACTTGAAATATTATTAGAGGGTGCTACTGACATCCAGGATTTATACACAGCTGAAGCTAGACTTGTTGAAATAATGATCACAGTTTTCTGTGATGTTCGCAAAAGATAATTTTCCGGAAAATGCAATCTTTTGATCACCTGATCGAAAAAATATTGATTATAAAGACCATTATAAATCATTATTTTTTATATTTTTATTATTATCATTACTATTATTATTATTATTATTATTATTATTATAATTATTATTATTATTATTATTATTATTATTATTATTATTATTATTATTATTATTATTATTATTATTATTATTATTATTATTATTATTATTATTATTATTATTATTATTATTATTATTATTATTATTATTATTATTATTATTATTATTATTATTATTATTATTATTATTATTATTATTATTATTATTATTATTATTATTATTATTATTATTATTATTATTATTATTATTATTATGGGTGGATTATCCCGGTACCATGAGATAGGACGAGCTGTAGCAACTGTAATGTCTGATGAGATATTCCACGATGTAGCGTATAAAGCTGTTAAACGAGATCATCTACTCGCAGGTCGTATTTGTAAATCTAAATCACGCACCTCTGACCCTTTAGTAAAAGTAAATTAAACTTAAAGTCTGACCGCGTCAACCTTGTTGCACCGGCTAGTCCCATTGAGTGTCTGCTTTATTTACTCAATGTCCGGGGGATACAGTACACACTGGGACCGGAAAGGTTGACCCGGCTCGCAAATTCAAATGTTCAATTTACAGAAAAATTTTCTTTTTACTTATTGAATGAGTTTAACGCGGTTTTAACGGGTTGAATGGTGTCGGTAACCTAAATTGTCGTATAGATATAAATATTATTAATCTGAAATTAACCCTGTGATGTTCTTTATACAATAGACCGGAACAAAGCTTATTGAATAGTGAGAAGTACAGGGTGTCCCAGGAAGCATGACAGTGGAGTAAAGGCTTGAAGATCGACTTTGATATTTGGCGTTTAGATTTTAATTTTTTTAACAAAACCAAAAGAACTTTCATGTTTCGTGGGACACCATGTAGTTAAACTGCGTTGACTATATAACTTGAACCACTTTTTCGCGCTGGTTTCACTTAAAGACAAGTGTTTCCATCAAGTCTAGATAGTTCATCTATACTTCTCACAATTCCAATATGGTCCCTCCCTACTCCCTTCAGTTTTGTCTGAATAAAGACGACATTGTATATGGTAGGTTTGGATGAATTTCTTGATGCTGTAACAGTTCTACCCCCCGGAGAATGGGATCCATCCATTAGAATTGAACCTCCATCCTCAGTAAGCAAACATAGATTAATTAGGAAACGTTAAAATCAATTTTCCGATTTCCTAAATTTTATATTTACTTTGCTCTTCTGTGTAAGTTTGTTTGTTTGTATCAAATAAACGTCAAAACGGCTGAAATGATCGGGCCCAAATGTTGTGTTGGACCTCGCTTGACCCCAGAGAAGGCTTATGGATAATCGAAAATCGAATTTTGAAAATCCACGAATTTTTTTTTATAAAATCCGCGAAATTTTTTGTGTTTTTTTGCAATGTATACAAAGAAAACACGTTCACAATTTAAATAAAAGATGGGCGCAAAGCATCCTCAACTAAAAGCATATTTAAAATAAAAAAAAACTTGAATAATGACGAAAAGAGATTATTAATTTAAAAACTATTTCTGTAGAATTGTTTAGGTCCTTAATAAAGGATATTCTCAAGAATTATCTAGAAAAAGTCCAGGGGCTTAAATTAATTATTTTTGTTCACGCCCCTGAACATATCCAACAAATTAACTTTTTGAATTATCAGAGAGTCTAAATTTTCAAACCCAGTTTTACAAATCAAATGTTTATTGTTTGTGTTAAAATATTTAATCAAAACGCGACCAGGGTTGAATTCAGTTTTCTGTTTAAACATACAGGGATGCCCAGAAAGAGAGACTTTATAGACGACTGAACGGAATTCATAATGTCTGTTCCTTTTAATTCATGATATCCTGCAACTATAAACTTGTTTCTTTTTTGGGAAATCTTTAAGTATGATGTTTACAGTCTCAATTCTTTATATGTAACCCTTTATTTTTAGCTTAAAACGATTGAATGCCATTTGCTTAGGGTTGGATCTGATGGAAAATTGCTGAAAATGTTACAAAGCTAATCAAAAGTAAATTAGCTTGAAATTTATTAGGGTTGAATCAGGTTCTTGCCGGGTTTCATAGAGTATTCTTTAACATATAAAATTCTATTCTTAGATTTCATTCATTGAACAAATTCCTCTGCTCTGTATATTGAACTATGTAGATTTTATTTTATCTCAAAACATTACTACTTCTTTTAAAGAGCTAAATACTAGTAAGAGAAACGGAGTTGAAACCTTAAAATTTTACTTTTATCCTTCGTGGGTTTATAGAGAGAACTNTTGTAGAAAAAAAAAATGTCCAACTTTTCTAATCAAAAACCTTTGAAAAAGATAACTTTCTTTTCTTTCATCCCTGGTCATCACTGTATGGCTTAGCTTTTAAAAGTTATTGTTTGATGTCTACAGGATTCTAGCATGTTTGATTTATATTTGTAAATCCTATTATGACAAATAAGACAAAATATGTCATAATTTAATAGTAAATAACAATGAGATGAAAAATTAAACATGAAAATATTTTTTATCCAGGTCCCTTCCCAACAATCGAGAAAGAACCCCAACCAACCTAAACAGGAAATAGATGAAGAGGAGGAGGAGGAGAAAATTAGGTATTCTTTGATTGATTAATTGATTGATTGATTGGTTGATTTATTTATTGATTGATCGATTTATTGAATGATTGATTGATTAGTTGATTAGCTTATTGATTAATTAAATGATTACTTGACTAATTGATTTATTGGACGATTGATAAATTGATTGATTAACTGATTGAGTGATTTATTGATTGATTGATTTTTTAATTGATTAATTTGTTGGTTGATTGATAAATTGATAGATTGATAAATTGATGGATTGATTCATTGAGTAAGTGAGTAAATGATCTATTGATTAATAGATTGATTTAAAAGTAAGATAATTTTCCCTCTTCTTTTTAAATAGATAGAAATGAAAGTATTGTCATTAGGTTAAATGAAAATAAAAATATAAAATTGTTGGAACTTAGCTTTTCCTTTTCAATTTAGTAGAAGTCAGGATGGAAGATTTAAAGTTAGGTAAAAGATTAATTTAGAATAAAATGGGAAGTGTCAGGATTAATGTGGATTTATCTTTAACACATTTAGGGAAGAGTCCGGATTAACCCGAACTGGAAGGTTCTGTGGAGGGTTGTTAAATGATATCAAGAGAAAGAAACCCTGGTACATCTCAGATTTCAAGGTCTGTTTAAATCAATTGGTACCATTATCACTTCTTTCCAATATTTTTGTTACAATAATCTTACAAGACTAGAAGGAGATGTTTCGTTTAATTTAAAATTTGGTGTTGATGATGCTCTAAACCTCACAGAGTAAATAAAATAGGTGTTCCACATTTTCTGAAAATATATTTCGGTCTGGGTTGACCCTCGTCAGTTCTTATGATATAATAACCATCAAAATCAATATTAGTCCTAACCTGATTGGGGGGATGTTCCCCCCCCCCTTCCTATGATTTTGCCCAACTTTTCAAGGCCTGCTCAGTAAAAAATAAATTAGAAATCTTTGATGGTTAGGGTGCAAGATAGGATTTTAAAAAGTTCAAAATTAAGTATTTTTACTTTTGACAAATATTAACATGTGACTAATATTTTATTACATATATTTCTTTAGGGCTTTTCAAATGTATAAAATTCTGATGTTTTTAAACACACGACCTGCCATTTGACTGTCCTCCACAAAAAATCAAAAAAAAAAATTTAGCAAAAATTCTAATGTCAGATGTTTTTNGGTAAAAACAAAACTTCTTAAAAAGAAAAGAAGATTCATTTGGTGTACTATCCTGTGTTAGTGCTCTGAAGATAATTATCTACTTAAATAAAAATAGATTGACTAAAAAGTAATATAGTACCCATTTATTCAGAATTAACTTTGGTTCATCTGAAACCCAATTCAATTTAGTACAACCCCATCCCTTATTTTATGTACGTGTTCAGACAGAAGTTCACTTCCTTAGAGGTTTCAGTCAGAATTCAATTGCACAAATTGCGCAGGCTTGCGAGGAATTGTGCGGAATTGCAGGGATTATACAGGCTTGCAATTGCAGGCATGTAAAATCCACTTGGTTGGAAACCCTAGTTTGAAGTAAAGCAATGATTTTTTTGCTATTGACATTGTCAACCCCTCTAAATAATATCATCACTATTTAGGATGCTCTTTCACTGCAGTGTGTAGCCTCCTATGTATTCATCTACTTTGCCTGCTTGACCCCAATCATAACCTTTGGTGGCCTATTGGGTGATGCCACCAAGAACCACATGGCATCCATGGAGTCTCTAGTCTCGGGAATGATTTGTGGTGTCTTGTTTGGAATGTTCTCTGGACAGCCATTAACCATTCTTGGATCAACTGGTAAGCAGTAGAATTTTTTGGAAAATAATAAAGAATACGTGAAAAATTTGGTCTATTAAATTTGTATGTAAAAATAACTATTTGCTGAATGTTAAGGTCCAGTGTTGGTGTTCGAGACAATCGTTTTTGATTTCTGCAAGGCACAAGAATGGAATTATCTCTCTTTCAGGTTAGCTAGCAGTAATATTTTTTCTTTTTTCTTTTCACATTCATTCACCTTCATCATAATATTTACTTCTGCATCTTATGGATTTAGATAAAAAAAATATTCTTATCACAGTGCGCATTAGGAGTTAAAACTAACCCTTACAAGTTATTAAGTCTTCTTATCTCTCAGATTACAGTATTCAGAATATTTCTGTTGCTAGTAGTATTAAGGATGTATTACTGTATGTTCATTAATATTGTTCTAACCTTGGTACTTTCAAAAACTTTGGCAGAGGACTCAATATGGCTGTTAAGATCTCCAACAATACCATTAGATTCTGACAAACCAAAGCTCATGCCTTCTCTTGGAAATGGAAACCTTGGTATGAATGTGTTTCTACCCTCAGTAAGGAAGCAATGTTTGTACTCAGGTCAGGATGGATCATCCCATAGAACAAGAATTCCTGGAAATGCAAACCTTCGAGTTGTCAATGTGGGAGACATGCTCTTTACATTAGATATGAAGCAAGGAATATTTGAAGTGTCCGGCAATAATGACAAATTTACGGTAGATCACAAATTACTTGTTCACAGAAAATACTCCAACTTGATTTTAAACTCAATAACAGTAACTCCAGTTGAACCTTCCAATGAGATCTTTGAAGCGGAAGTTGTTTACACAGATGCTGTGGATGACACTACAGAGGACATTAAGATTGATTATGACCCTAGAACACTGCATCTAAGGGAAAATCAACTTGGATTGGAACTTGTTGAATATATTTGTGGAAAAACTGAGATTACTGAAGGATCATATAAACAAGAATCCAGTGTCTGTTATGCATGGACTCCAATATCAAACCTCCTCTTCTCTGGACAAGAGGCAAACTACACCAAGAATTTCATAACAGTAATTTCTGATTCTGAGGAAGGCCTACAGTCAGAAATTGAATTGATATTGGATTTATCTCTGAAAAGTCTGGTAGAATCCCACATAAACGCTTGGGAGAATATTTGGGCCAAGGGTAGTATTCTAATAGATGGGGACACAGAGCTAGCACAGACTATTTTAGCAAGTATGTTTTACATTTACTCTTCTTTACCATTTTCAACCCCAATGGATAAATTTTGTGGACTCAGTCCAGGTGGTCTTAGCTATGGAGGATTAAATATGGATTATCAGGGCCACAGTTTCTGGGATACAGAGATATGGATGTATCCATCTGTTCTTGCTCTTCATCCTGAACAAGGTCTGGAACTTCTTAAATATAGAATAGATAGACTTGAGAGTGCTTTTAAGCATGCAGCATCAGGAGGTTTTAGAGGAGCAAGGTTTCCTTGGGAAAGTGCACTGACAGGATCTGAGGTTTGCCCAGATTTTGCTGCTGAAACAAGAGATAATCAAATTCATATTTCTGCAGATATAAGCTTTGCGGCGAGACAATATTTAGCAGTGACTGGGGACCTGAGTATGTTCAATGACCTAGAAGATTCAGCTAATGGTTGTGATTTTATCATGAATATTGCAGAGTTCTGGGCGTCAAGAATTAGCATTAATGAAGATGGAGTGTCTGAAATACTTCATGTAATGGGCCCTGACGAGGACCATGGAGATGTGGATAACAATGCATACACAAATGTTGCTGCAGCTTATGCAATTTTTTTTGCAGAATATCTAGGTTGTGCCGCAAACTGCAGCTATCAGATTCCCTCTAATTACAGTGATATGGCATCAAGATTAAAAATGGAATATAATAAGGAAGCAAACTTTCATCCACAATATACTGGATATGTTTTGGGCACTGAGATAAAACAAGCAGATGCAATCCTCCTTGGGTATCCATTCATGTATCCCATGAACACCTCCACGAGGGTGAGGGATCTAGATGAGTATGGTAAAGTAGTAAGGTCCAATGGACCTGCAATGACATGGAGCATGCATTCTGTTGGACATATAGAAACCCGTAACTTTGGTGAAGCAGAGAAATTCTTCAATAAAAGTTATCAAGCCTACGCCAGAGAGCCTTTCCTAGTTTGGACAGAACAACAGAAACCAGATATTGGAGCAGTCAATTTCCTCACAGGGATGGGTGGATTTCTTCAGGCTGTCTTGTTTGGGTATGCTGGACTGAGGATAAGGTTGGATAGGATAGAGTTTACTCCCAACCTTCCATCAAATACAAGAAGTATGGATATTGCTGGAATTGATTACTATGGAGCTGAGTTTAATCTGATAATAAATGAAAATAAAGTTATCATAGGTAAGTGTACAGTGCTACATTGTTTTTTGAATGCATTTTATAGTTATTGATTGTGATACTTACTTTTTACCATTTTTAGATCTTAAAAGAGTTTCCAAAGAATTGAAAGTGAAGCAAGGTTCTGAAACTGTTGATGTGAGTACTCCATCCTACCTTGAGCTAAGAGTTGAACCCTTCATGATTACACCAGGCAGTCGAGGATATTTGGAGAACTGTTCACTACCTAAGGATATTATTGGCCTTTGATGAAGTTTTCTATAATTTTGTACTTCTCTTATAAAAAAAATAAATTAATGCAAAATAGACAATTATTTATTTTAATGGAATTACTTTAGTTCTGTCAAAGCATATGTTGTGAATAGCTAAACAATGTGAGTTTTAATTTGATTACAAAACAAGTCAAATTTCTTTTCTGCACTCATTTCTAAACTTATTTTATGTAGCTCACAATCTCAAATAGGTTAACCAATAAGAAATTGTTAAAGTATGTCTCTTTGTAAAATATTGGACCAATGTGTTATCAATTAATATGATCAAAAGTTTCAAGATTTGTTCAATAGTAAAAGTTGAATTAGAATTATTTACCCAGAAACTCTGTATCCCAGGCTATGTATTGGAGCATGGATTGGATTGATCCTAATCATCTTGGTGGCAACTGATGCTAGTGCCATGGTCTGCTACATTACAAGGTTTACAGAAGAGAACTTTGCAACCTTGATAGCGGTCATCTTCATCATTAAGGCTGTAGGTAGGACTTTTATCTTACTTGTCAGTTTAAAGTTCTAGGATAAAGTTTTATAAATAATTACACTAAATTGAAGCTGGCTCTACAAAAAAATTTTATTCTTAAAAATAGTATTCTCTTCAAGATTCCGTTAGACAAAGGTCTGCAATATATAGAAATCCCAACCATTCAAAGTCAGGAAAATAAAAAATTCTTTAACATACAAATAAAAAATGCAAAATAAAAGCAAAAAGCATATTGGTTCTAAGGTTTGCAATGTGGTTGGACTCTAGTCGAATTGTATTTAAATTTTCTATTATTTTATTTTTATTTAAACATCATCTTTATTTTCATCATTTAATATCAAATAAAAATTATGATTGCAATCTCCTATAAATATAGTGAAGAAGCCTGTTACTGAAGATTAAATAAATTGCATGTTCCAGAATAAGCTTAGTAAAAGATGTTTATATCAATATTTCTATACAAACAAGTCTAATGAAGTTTTTCTTTTTAATTCCCTCTAAAAAACATTTCACTGCATTTTGGAATTCGGAAGAAATCAAAGTAAAGGAATTAAGTCGTTATCACTAACTCTAATCTTGTAAACCTTGGATATTTCAATATATGTTTTCTGTTAGATAAAGTAATCTATGTTTAAAATATCAAAGGTTACAACTAATTTATAGCAGACAATATAACAGTTTTGTCCTTCCTTTCAATTAAAAAAAAGGAATTTCAAATTTTTAACTGTTATTAAGTTGCATTTTTCCTGAGGTTTAGAACTGAAAACTTCATAATTGTGGATATCAAGAACAGTTCTTAATCTCCTCTTTTTGTTAATCTTTACTTTGGACCCAGAAAAAAATGTGTCTGAAATTCAACCAATCAAAGTGGCGTATGCAGAATCCCGAACAGCCAATCAGAAACCAGGAAAATAAAAAATTTTGGGCGCCATTTAATGAGCGAACTCTCGTCGATTGGAATTCCAAAAAGAGGGGAAAAGAGTGCATTATGCAGAAATCAAAAGTGTCCACAGAGGATAATTAGATGAAGCGATCGGTAGATTATATTAAGGGTTCGGTAGATTATATTTAGGGATCGGTAGATTATATTAAGGGATCGGTAGATTATATTAAGGGTATCCAATTCTAAACTGTCCGCTCAAGTGAGAATTGCTAATACTTTTGTTTAGATAAACTGTTATCTATTGGTGCCAAGACTCCAATCCATCCTAGCGACTGTTTCTGTATTCCAGAAGAAGAATTTCCAGGCTGGAACAAATCCATGAGGTAAACTTGAACCTATAAAGGGTAAGGGGCATTTGGTGTTGCCCCCCCCCCCCCGCTCTTATTTTCAAACAAAAGTCACATGTATGACAAAAACAATATTTTACGTTTCACTTCTTTTAAAACATCCTGTGTCTAATATATAACATTTTTGACATCTGAATTTTTCAGCGTTGAGGCAATTTGTGGTAATTCGTGTTAAAGTCAAAACTTGTTGATTCAAAATTGAAGCAGTGTAAATGCCCCGCCGTGTTAATGGTTAATGCTTTGTCGTCTTCATACACCATTTATATTTGCATTTATAACTTTGTGTGTGAATATATCTTTATAATAATATAATAATATTCCAAACTTTAATGTTGGGGAGTTTTACTGATATCATTCTTCTTAATCTACATGTGACAAAAACAATTTTTTAAATAAAACTTTTTATTTGATTTCTGATATATTTGTTCAGTATGCTGTTGGCTGGGGATGACAATGATATTGGCCTGAAATCCAAGCAGGCTTGTTCATTCCAAGCAATGATGAACAATACTATCACTGATGTTCATGGTAGGAATTTTATACTTAAATGTTCATATTTCTTTAATTGTTAAAAGTTCCTAATTTGGTAGCATATCATTCAATGCAAACGATGGTTTATCAACGTGTCTTAAACTGACGCGTAATTGCCATGCAAAGCCGACAATTACCGATGCAGTAGAAATGCGTAAGTCACTTTGGTAGAGAACCCACAATTGAAAATAAAAAGTTTTCAAAATTATAAACATTGATATATAATTCTAACTTAATCAGACAAGTTTTTTTTCGGGCATTGCCATCTTTGCATGGAGGCTCACTTAAAATTACGCTTACAGTCCTGTTGAAACAAAAATGTTTGACTAGGTCATGAATCGGTTGGATGCCACTATGTCCCGAACGCGTTCTTGATGAGCTGTCTCATCTTCGTCGGAACCTTCCTCATCTCCTTCCATCTCAAGAAGTTCAAAACACAGAACTTCTTCCCCACAGTTGTCAGACAGTACATTAGGTACTTAAAAACAGTTCATTAAGTAAGTGGTGTGCAGTAAATTAGGTACTGCAGTACAGTTCTTGAAGTACATAGGATGAAGTATATTAGGTATTGTAGTACAGATCATATAGTACAAATACAGAGTACATTACATTTAATTAAGAACATAGTGTGCAGTACAGTTTGGTAATATTTTACAGTCCATAAAGTACAAAGGGCAGTAATTCAAGAACTGTAGTATACAGTTCATAAAATACATAGTTGTAGTACATTAGAAACTGCAGTAAGTTAATAAATTACATAGTTGTGTACATTAGAAACTGCAGTACAGTTAATAAAGTACAAAGTGTACACAATACAGAACATTATTTTAAAAATTATACCTCTTGGAGCCTCACTGTTTAGTTTAAAAACTTGAAGCCCCCTAGGACATGTTATATTCATATATAATTCAAATCTAACGATAACATTTCAGTGATTTTGCTGTGGTGATTGCAATCCTATCTATGACTCTGACAGATATGATGGTCGGAGTAGATACTCCAAAACTTAGGTAGAAAATATCGCATTCAGTAATTCAGGCACCTTCTCCGGTCCGGTTTTAAACAATCTGATCTTGACCTTGAAGGAAAGGATTTCTGCTAATCATATCTGTAGTTGATTCTGACATTTTATAAAGATTTGATCAAATTAGTTGTGACTTTCAAACCTTTAAAAGCGACTGTCCTTGTATTTTTAAAAGATTCTTTCTTTAAAAGAGGGACACGTGTCTTTATCTTAACATTAATCTAATAAATATTGTGGAAGTTAACTTCTTTTACCAGCTTAAAATCACAAATTAAGATAACATTTTGCAAAAACAAAACATTGATATCCAATTCATTCTCGATCTGACAAAGCTTTTACGGGTATCATTGTGAATCAGACATGGCATATAATAAATGAAAGAACACTGGAACTCCCCTGCAGTCCCCTTCAAGCAAGTTTTAAAATTAATTCTATTCAGTGTTCCGGATAAGTTTGCTCCCACCCTACCCACTAGAGATTGGTTAATCCATCCTTTAGCTGACAATCCTTGGTATACTCCTATACTAGCTCTAGTCCCAGCTTTACTAGGTAATCTTGGTATACTCCTATACTAGCTCTAGTCCCAGCTTTATTAGGTAATCTTGGTATACTCCTATACTAGCTCTAGTCCCAGCTTTATATATTCAGGTTCTATCCTGATCTTTATATCTATAATTTATCCTGATCTTTATATCTAGGTTATATCCTGATCTTTATATCTAGGTTCATACCCTGATCTTTATATCTAGGTTCTATCCTAATCTTTATATTTAGGTTCTATCCTGAACCTTATATCTAGGTTCTATCCTGATTTATATATCTAGATTCTATCTTGTTCTTTATATCTAGGTTCTATCTTGATCTTTATATCTAGGTTCTATCCTGATCTTTATATCTAGGTTTTATCTTGATCTTTATATATCTTGGTTCTATCCTAATCTTTATATTTAGGTTCTATCTTGATCTTTTTATATATAGGTTCTATCCTGATCTTTATATCTAGGTTCTATTTTGATCTTTATATCTAGGTTCTATCCTGATCTTTATTTCTAGGTTCTATCCTGATCTTTATATCTAGGTTCTATCTTCATCTTTATATATATATATATATATAGGTTCTATCCTGATCTTTATACATATAGGTTCTATCCTGATCTTCATGGATCAGCAGATCACTGCTGTCATAGTTAACAGAAAAGAACATCAACTACTGGTGAGTTAGATAATGAATATTTTGCTATGGTTAAATCCTGTCTTCTGATTTCTATATTATACAGGGTGTCCCATGAAACATTGCAGTTGGTGAATAGTTTAAAATGTCTTCTTCCATAATTTGTTAAGTTGTTTGTTGGTAAAGAGAATAATTAAAAATATTGTATGAGAGTCATCTTGTAGTAAAATTAATTTCAAAGTAAAATAAATTTAAGTAAAAGATATTTTAACGAAATAAACTTCAAAAAGTCTTGAATATTTAATATATAATATGGAAGAAGACATTTAAAAGTACTCATCAACTGTCATGTTTAGTGGGACACCCAGTATGTTAATTGTTTTCCGAATGATTTAACAAAGAAACAAGTTTAAAGTTACTGGAAAGTAAAATTATACGCAAACATGAACTAAATAAATGTCGTATAGTTGTGTCCGATGTCTTTTTTTTGGGGTAAAGGTAACTAACCCTGTAAAAAACGCCCACAAAATATTATTTAAAAATGAAAAGTAGAAGTAATTTCAATTTAAAGATTGCATGGTTGATTTATAACAGTACCCTTTTTAACTTTGTCGCAGTAAAAATACCCGAATATGGTGGTAGGCGATTTTATCAATATAGTGAAGACGACTTTCGAGTTTAATTTTGATTTATGTAAAGCTAATTTAAACATTATGGATTGGATACAAAAAAAATGGAAACAGAGAGAAGCTGTCAATTGAAAAAGCTTATCTTTAATTGCTTGTAAACTTGTAATTCGATAAAAGCTTGTTAACAATTAAAATTTAAATGCAAAGTCTTCTTCATTATATTGCTATAATCGCCTACCACCGTACCTAATTATTTGAATACATAAGTTTACAAACACACACAAATATTGTACTGCATGGTTTAATTTAAAAGGGAGGGGAGAAAAGGAGAAAGAAAACAAAAAACTGTACATGAAAGTACTTAATAGTCCCTTTACTATTGTAGAAAGGGGCGGATACCATCTTGATCTCCTGATATAGCCCCTTTACTATTGTAGAAAGGAGGCGGATACCATCTTGATCTCCTGATATAGTCCCTTTACTATTGTAGAAAGGAGGCGGATACCATCTTGATCTCCTGATATAGTCCCTTTACTATTGTAGAAAGGAGGCGGATACCATCTTGATCTCCTGATATAGTCCCTTTACTATTGTAGAAAGGAGGCGGATACCATCTTGATCTCCTGATATAGTCCCTTTACTATTGTAGAAAGGAGGCGGATACCATCTTGATCTCCTGATATAGTCCCTTTACTATTGTAGAAAGGAGGCGGATACCATCTTGATCTCCTGATNAATGCATTTATCAGCAAACATTGAATAGATACAGGGTGTCCCAATAAACTTGAGGTTTGAGTGACGATTTCGATATCGTCTTTTATAATAATTCTTTGGTTTAGTGATACCTAATGAGAAAGCTGTAATTCGTAAGATTTATTTCGATTTATGTTTTGACTGCATACAGTTGTTTTACTCAGTTAAACAATAAAATTACAGTTTACAAACAGAGTATTAAACTTGTCTGTCTTCACTGTTCATCTTTACATTCATTTCGCGTTTTCATAATATAAACTTAAGCAGACATGATAATATTATGGCTTTTAAATCATGTATTACAAGTCGTAACAAAGACGATCTCGAATTCGTCGCTGAGTTCCCATGTTTATTGGGACATCCTGTAAGTAAAATCAAATATTAGATGAAAAAGACGAATTATGGTTCTATTTGTTTGTATTCCACACTCCACCAAACTCATGAGACATTACTGGTACGCCTTTTGGACCTCATAGCCACTCGAAGCTTTGATTTTAAAGTATTTGGTTTCATTCTAGAAATAAAATAAAAAAATTCTCAAGAGAAGATCGAGTTATTTATTGTTAACTTTTAAGGTTTTAATTAAACATTGAAATTTATTTTAATTTAACATGAAATTCACTGTTTTCTATAATTTTAGATCTTTGACCCGGGAATCTGAAGGAGCCGCCCCTGGAGAAAAACCTCAGTTCCTCGGAATCAGGTTTTTAGATTTAAAAAAAAGTTTTTCAAGATACTATTTTAAATTTGTTAAAAACAATGAACTTATTGTTTTGTGAAGACAACCTGAATATTAATTTGGTTAATTTTTTTGTATATGAAAAGATTCGCGAAATTGTTTAATTGTTTTTTTTAAAGTACAAAAAAGAAAGGCCTCGTCAGTTAATGACAAAAGACTTCAATTATTGCCGAAAGTAGAAAGGCGAGTTATTCATGTATGCATGCATTTAATCATTGTTTAAGAAATCATTTAATAATTTGTATTTAGAGAGCAGAGAGTTACCCATGTTTTGATCTTTATTACTGTTGGTCTCAGTGTATTCATGACACCAATTCTTAGCAAGGTTGGAAACTTTTAAAGGAAATACAATGAAAACCAGAACACTGGAATAGGATGATGAAATCAAACCAATAATTAAGTATATTTAATGTTGTGTTACAAAGAGAAAAATTTTATTTTAAGTACCTTATTAATTCATTAATCAAATTAAATTTAAAGTCGAAACTTGAATCTAAAAGTCTTCTTCATATACCCGAGTGTTTTGGTTCTTACTGTATATCATTTTTTTCGTGCTTTGGTTACAAATAAGACGAAGAGGAAAATGAAAGCGTCAATTCAAAAAAAAAAAAACTTAATTTCCACATTTCTCTTTGCAGTTGTAAATATTCTATTCATTAGTTTTATATTATATTATAATTCTCTCCACCTGTTCTGCACTGTACAGTACTGTACTGTACTGTACTTGCAGTTGTAAATATTCTATTCATTAGTTTTATATTATATTATAATTCTCTCCACCTGTTCTGCACTGTACAGTACTGTACTGTACTGTACTGTACTGTGCTGTACTTTACTGTACTGTACTGTACTGTACTGTACTGTACTGTACGGTGTGTTTCAGTACAGTGTACTATAAATGAATAATATAGATTCATATGCCTGTACGGTACGGTGTGTTTCAGTACAGTATACTTAAATGAATAATATAGATCCCTATGCCTGTACTGTACGGCGTGTTACTGTACAGTGTGCACTGTGCATAATCTGAATGCTTTAGATCCCTATGCCTGTACTGTACGGCGTGTTCCTGTACATGGGTGTGGCCTCCCTCAATGGCCTTCAATTCTTTGACAGGAAGGATACATTACATACAATTTATCAAAATATTATGAAATCACTCAAAAATTTTAGAATTTAAATCAAATGGAAAAACTGAAGGAAAAAAAATCAGCAAAAAACTTTGTAAACGTTATCTTATAGCTTTCATATGTTTTTTTAAATAGTTAACTGGTCAAGTTCAATATTTTTATGATATATTGCAAACAAAATATTTGAATGTACTGAATTCAGAATTCTGCTGCTTTTTATGCCGAAGAAATATCAGCCAGACTACCCTTATCTGAGACAGGTTCAACTAATTACCAAAGCTATACAGCTTTAATATACAACAGTGCGTAAGGATCTGCATCCGAATCCAAGCTAAGGGTCAAAATATCTACCAAAATATCTACCAAAATATCTACCAAAATATCTACCAAAATATCTACCAAAATATCTATCAAAATATCTTCCAAAAACTGTAAAAAAAACTTTTCCAATCCAACCCCAAATCTGGACTGTTGAAAACGGAGAGATTATTAAAAATCCCTGAATTGTTTATCAAGTTTTAGCATAATAAAGAAGAAAAATATTTATAAAATTCTGACCCGAATCCGGATTCAGATCCATTCATTCAGGGCGGATTCAGAATCAAAATGAAATGGATTCCAAGCACTGCTGTACAGCATTATTTGAATAAGAAGATTACTTGAAGTTTTGAGGAAAACCATATTTTTAGAGAAATTCAAAATTTAGTTCTAGAGAGGGATCTTTACATTAATTTCCAAAACTTTACATTAATTTCCAAAACTTTACATTAATTTCCAAAACTATGAAAAAGTAGACAACCAAATTAAATATCAGTTGGTTAATAACTACAGGAAGTTCTGTTGTTTCTCAGCAATGGATAACGAGGGAGTCAGCACTGGCACTGCACTGGCATTCAAAGTCTAATCTGTGTCTATCATATGAATCATTTATATAGAAAATAAATAATGTAGTTTTTCCATTTATGAAAGTTGTAAACTTGTAATACAATTGTAATATCTTAATCTCTGCTACAAAATAAATATTTAGATCTAAAAAAAATTTCCAAAACTTTTTTTGCAGAATTAATTATTTTTTTAGGTTCAGATAAACCGTGTTCATTTGTTCACTCTTGTTCAAGTTTGTTGCTTTGTTGCTCTTTGGTTGATCAAATCCTTCAAACAGACATCTATTCTCTTCCCAGTTATGGTAAGATACAATTTTTATCTTACAATTAAACTTAAGATCAAGTGATTAAAGTGACGTTTATAGAAATCATTGGACTAATGTATCATTTGTCTTTGACACTTAGATTGTTGTAATATAGTGGCACTGGCATTCATCTTAGATTGTAGAAATATAGTGGCACTGGCATTCATCTTAGATTGTAGAAATATAGTGGCACTAGCATTCATCTTAGATTGTAGAAATATAGTGGCACTGGCATTCATCTTAGATTGTAGAAATATAGTGGCACTGGCATTCATCTTAAGATTAAATCAAATCACTGTTATATGATCTTTTTTACAGTTGGTGATAATTCATGACCTTTGATTTTTTATTTGATCTTTATAAATGATAATTGTCTGTTTAGTATTGATCTTTACTGTACATATGGTGACTATGCTCTTCTTGTCTAACTATTTGATCTTCAAGTATTTTATGATTGGTTGAGACTTGATCTGTGTACACTGTACAGTCTTTACTGAGTCAATGCTCATTTATGATCTTCTTTTCCTACTATTTTACACTAATGTTGAGATGTTTTTAACAATGATCTGCTTCTAGTTGGTCGGCGATCATTCATTCTTATCTAATTGATTTTTAACAGTTGGTGATCATGATTGGAGTCAGGAAGGGGCTGGATTTTATCTTCACCAAGAAAGAGCTCCAGGTAAAAAAGAATATTCTAAAATTATATCTGCTGCTTAAATACATTCAACTTTAAATTTGGGCTCTTTGTTGTATTTACAATCAATAAATCAGTTAATTAATTTAACAATTATTAAATTCAATATTACAACAAGCAATCAGTTTTAAATAACTTATTGTTTTAGGTTCTGGACGATATACTTCCAGAGTTCAAGAGACACGATCGTTTAGATGACGAGGAAGCTCTTCAAGAGGTAAATAGATAAATCCCATTAACCCATAAATAATCAAGGATATGATCACATGATCTATCAAGCACAAGCAAAATCTATCAATCAAATCATCCAATGATCAATTAGTAACATGATACTATTATCAAACAAGCACATGATCATTGATTAATCAAAACATCCCATGATCAATTTATGACATCATCACATGGTTAATCAGTAATCATGCACAAGCTATATTTATCAATCAAGTCATCCCATAACCAAATAAGAACATGATGACACTATCAATCAAGCACATTATAAATCAATCAATCATTCAACACATCTCATTACCAATTAGGAAATTAGGACATGATCACGTGATCAATAAAGCACTTGATAATTCAATTAATTAAGATAATCAAAAAATCATATGAGCAATTAATGACGTGACCAACGAAAGACATAATTATATTTTTAGATCAGTTATTGACATGTCAGATACCTTTGATCAATTACTCACTTGCTATATCAATTACACGATCGTCAGTATCAGTATAATTACTCGATTATCATGATCACAAATTAATTTTCTTAACAATTATGTTTTTTGAAGCAAAGATGATTTTGCTAAGGAACAAGCTCAGATTCTCAAAAACTTTTTAAACCTTTTTAAGATAAAGAATATTTATTATATCAACTTTCAGATATTTATACCAACCGTAAATAGAGAATAGAGAACGAAGAAGAATGATACTATTAACCCCCATAGAAAATAAATAAGATTTTAAAAAGATAATTATCAGCTTGTTCTGAGAACTAGCAACCTTCTTATGATACCTGCCGGCATACTTGGTATAGCTCAGGTAGCTCAGGTAGCTCAGGTAGCATGCGAGGTACTCTGGGTACTTAAAGTTCCCAAAGTACACAAGAAAGGGGATTACAATGACAATTGTAAAAAAAATCATAGATTCTCTTAAGTATCATATCTAAAATTGACAATCACAGAACAAGTCCAATTTGGTTGTCTGGGCTTTTTATTGGGGAGGAGGAGNTTCTAATAAAGTGTACAGAAACAGAGTTCACCTTGCATTGGTCTTCTTTTAGAAGTTTGAAATTTAAAATCACGTTTTTTGTGGCTTAGTTCAATAGGATTGCTTTAATTTATTAGATGGGTATCCAGGATTGATTCTAATACCAATATTCTTTTCTTGGTATCCAAATTATCAAATTTAATGTCTATGCACAATGTCCTGAACGATATTTCTTCAGTAAAAAGAAAAACTAAAACTCATTCATCATTGATATATAGACAATAATCCAGTTATTTACCGATTACATGGGATAAAAATATAGACAAAAGGGTTTAATAATTTTCTGTGTAGTTTTAGTTCATACCAAAAACTTGTTTATGGCAAGTTCCAAAAAATATTTTTAGAAATAACCTTTTAACCTGAATTTAAAGAGTGCCATCAAAAATACACAACAAAGTTCTTAGAATATGGAAACTTACTTTTGCATTATATGATAGCTGTCTTATGGAAATCATCAATTAGAAAACTTGTTCCTTTTCATTAATCATTAGGTTTTTAAAGAAGAGTTAATATTCACCAAAGGACGATTTACAGATAGTTGTGTTAATTCGAATCTTTTTGTAGAAGTTTTCCTTCATGATTTGATTTTACTTAAGTATGTTTAGTAAAATCGAATTTTATATATTTTGTGTGCAAAAAGCTTATATATCACCTTTTCAGCATTTTTCAAGCATGTTTTTTTTCTTCTGAAATTTACATCTTTTGAAACACTTTTAGTGGATCAAATAAAAATGGGTCCAATAAATTTATCTTTTTCATCAGAATGAAGGCTCTGAGAAGGATAAGGGTGATGGTAAAGGCAGTCTTCGCTGCACAAAATCTTCGGTTGAGGTATAGTTCTAATTTCATGCTTTCTTTAGTTTATTTACAAGGAACGGAAAATGTCTAGATTCAAATCACTTTTTTAAATTCTCTATCATTTTCTAATTTTTCTTAATAAGGTCCCGATGTTGAATGGAAATGTGTTAAAGATCCCTCACCAAGCGATTAACATCACCGAGGAGATGAATAAGAGCGGGTGCTGGCAGAGTTTAGAACCAAACGCGGCAACGCCGCTCATCAAAGTGTCGTCTTCGTCTTCAAAGTGAGAAATTATTAATATAATTTTTCTGGCAGACGTTGAACTCCAACCTTCGAGTGTGCGAGGTGGGGAAGACTTAACTGCCGCGCTTAATTAAAAGCATGATTAAGGGGGGATGACATTTGTAGATCGAGACTGAATCCTAGCCGCAGCGCTCGGCCCAGAAAGTGTCATAACTTTACCTAACCCGTGGCCGCAGCACTCGGCCTCCTAGCCTGTCCTAGCCGAAGCACTCGGCCGAGAAAGTGTCTTAACCTAACCTAACCCTAAATAAATACTAATTTAATTGAAAATTGTTGAAAAGGTGGTCATGTACAAAAGTAAAATCTGCAGTGAAGTCTTCCCCACCTCGCACACTTAAAGGTTGGAGTTCAGCGTCTGCCAATTTTTATTAGTTCATAAGGAATACTGGTTTAACAGAAAACAAGTGTTTAAAAAGTTTAACTTTAGTTTTAATTCACTTCCCAACCCGTCCAATACCCCCCCCCCCCCTCCCATAGAATTAATTGATTTTTATATTGTTTATTAATTTTTATATATTTGAGGGGGGGATCTAGAAAGAAATCTCGAAGAATGAGCCTCGTCCAGGAAGAAGAAGAGGGGGGAATAACTATGAAGGTATAATTTTGATAAACAAAGAAACAAAATATTTAAAAGTTTAAATTTTTGCACCATTTCAATAACAAAATTGTTCCCTAAATATAAATTTTAAAATTTAGGCCAGCCATTATGATGAATTACAGTTTAAAAATGTTAATTTTATGAAAAAAAATTTATTTTTAGTTGGATAAACGTAAATAGGCGGGAAAAGCTTAAGCAAAACATCTCTGCACAGTGCACAAGTTTGTCAAATCACATATACAGGGTTTACCCACATAGGATTAGACTTCAGAGACGACTCTTCATTATGTCTCTATTATATGAATTTCAGGTCGTCTTTACAGTCTAATACTTTGTGGGTCACCCTGTATTTCCTAGTTTAGAATAAACTTTGTTTTCTTATTTTTATTTTAAGAGAAACCGGCTGAACAACGCCAATGATCTAAAACTGTTAATGTTCCTTTTTGAATTTTGATTTTCTTATTCCCACATTTGCACCCACCAATCAGAGTAGGATTAAAGATAGTTGTCTTATTGTAAACAATAACAAAGATTGCAAACAATAACAAACATTGCAAGCAATAACAAAAATTGTAAACAATAACAAAGATTGCAAACAATAACAAAGATTGCAAACAATAACAAAAATTGTAAACAATAACAAAGATTGCAAACAATAACAAAGATTGTAAACAATAACAAACATTACAAACAATAACAAAGATTGTAAATGATAACAAAGATTGTAAACAAAAACAACGATTGCAAACAATAACAAAGATTGCAAACAATAACGAAGATTGTAAACAGTAACAAATATTGTAAACAATAACAAAGATTGTAAACAATAACAAAGATTGCAAACAATAACAAAGATTGTAAANGTTAAGTGATATTAACATATAAATAAACATCAATTGTTTAAAGTCAATGTTAATGTTAATGTTAATGTTAACTAACACCCATAAATTTTAATCCAGAAATTCATATTTCAGTCCTGAAATCCATATTTCAATCCTGAAATTCATGTTTTAATCCTAAAATTCATATTTTAATCCTACCCCCCCCAAGTCCCTAATACACTTTTCCCCTCTCTCCCTCTGCACGGCTTCACCTTTGAAAATATAATGAACTATAACGACCTGTATCCTGCTGTATGCAGGGTGTCTCACGAAACATGACAGCTGGTAAATGTTTTGAATGTCTTCTTCCACATACAATATTAGATATTAATGACTTTTTCAGTTTATTTTGTTAAATAAACGCTTTTATTCAAATATATTTTACTTTGAAATCAATTTGACTATGATATAAGTTTATTCCGTGTAATATTTTTTTATTATTCTCTTTGGACTTAACAAATTATGGAAGAAGACAATTAAAAGTATTCACAAACTATCATGTGCCGTGGGACACCCTGTACTATATTGTATACACACTAGATATACACTATACAGTTTATACAGGCTCGCTGAATATTAAGTAAACCATAGAGTAGATTAGAGTAAACAGGTTTATTAAACTATACAATTTTATCAAAGAGTATTGTGTTAAATTTACAAAACTCCATAAACAAATTTTTGTTACCGTTAAAAAAAATTCCGGCCTCAGTTGACAACAATTGGGCCTGATTGGCGAACATTTTGGTTAATCTGTGAATAGGAAATACTGAGATAAACTTTTTTTCGAAGTTTCAAAAGTTTCCAGATTCGATTCATTCTTTTCTTTTCTTTAAGATTGTAAATAAACTTTGTAAACGTATTTGACCTTTCTCTTATCTACTCTATGCCGGGACATAAAATGCATGCTCTATAGTTTATAGGTTAAACCGTATAAGCATTTTTATAAAGTTCAGCGATCATAAGTTTCGGATTTTTTTGCCGTACACTTTTGTTTACTAATATTTCAAAGGCATCAAAAAACTAGGGCTTAATTTTTACTTTCTAATATTTGTACCACCGGAGAAAAAGGTTAAATTTTCTAATTTTGATATTTTAATCTTAGATTATTTGAACAGACATCTAGACACACAGGTTTACGACATAGGGTTGCAAAGAAAGGATTAGAAAATTAGAGTTTGCGGCAAATACTCAATTCCTTTATGCGATATTACTGACACGACTTTGTAACCTCGCAGCTCCTTTAATTTTGATGAGCGCACAAGTTTGAGATTTATTTGGAAACATCTTTAAAATTAAAAAAATGTTCTTCTCAATATCTCTTTAATAAGAAAAGTTATTTTTCAAAATAATTTGATATTTACTTTAGTATGACTTTATTTCTTTGTGAGCTAATAAGAGTTAACAAAGTAGCTATTAATGAACTTCTAAATAAATCTCATTACCCCAAACCCTCCGTACAACAAATCCTGATGAACTCATGTTTATCTGAGATTATAAAGATTAATGTAGAGCTTTGAAATAATAAAATGGAAACTTTACTTTATTCGTAGAATTAGTATAGTAATTTTTATTGTTGTAAAATTATTCCTATTATTATTACCATTATTATTATTATTATTATTATTATTATTATTATTATTATTATTATTATTATCATTATTATTATTATTACCATTATTATTATTTTATATTACAATTAGGCTGGAAAACCTCGTTTAGAAGAAGAATCTAAGGATGAAGAGGAAACTAAAAATCTTGTTGATCTTGAAGATGACTTAACTGTTAAATCTTGAATTTTGATGTCTTAGTCCTAGATCCTGTTATACAACTGAATTATTGCTTGAAGCTTGCAAGGACTGTAATTTTAAAGTGTCATGTCCGATTCACAACTGTACTCTTTGATTCTCAGTAGGGGTTCTTTCAGAAAAAAACGTTCAAGCTAAAAAAACGATGATATCTCCCTCGTCATTGATCAAATAATGATTTACAGGGTACCGTTGTAAATCGGGCATGACTTTCCTTAAACAGAGGGTCACTAAATATTATGTTTACGATCACTTTCAAGCCTGGAAAGCAATAAACCTATGTTTCTAAGTTCTGGTATCAATATTTTAAATTCACATTTTAATCCTGAAATCCATATTTTATTTCAGAAATTCCATTAGAGGCTCTATATGAGACCATTGAAGATTTAATGAATTTAATTAATGTTAATATTAACATACAAATGTTAAGTGATATTAACATATAAATAAACATCAATTGTTTAAAGTCAATGTTAATGTTAATGTTAATGTTAACTAACACCCATAAATTTTAATCCAGAAATTCATATTTCAGTCCTGAAATCCATATTTCAATCCTGAAATTCATGTTTTAATCCTAAAATTCATATTTTAATCCTATAATCCTGGTTTTACTATACATAAATTTTACTCAAAAATTGTGTTCATTAATGAAGTTAACGACATGTTTTTGTCCATTTAGAAGGAAATTGTATGTAATCTTTCTTTGCTGCATTTCAACTGGTCTCAAAGATTTTTCTATTCAATTTTTTACTTCTTTAAAAAATTAGATGATTTTAGGGTATGATATGTAAATATATAATGTAGAAATATTTGTGTACTTGAGAATTTTTTGTAGTTATAGAATTGTGTAATTTCTTAAATGTCTAGAAATTAGTTGATTGAATTTCAATTATTGTGCTTAAATTATGTTTTAGCAGCTCTTTTAAGCAGCTCTCCGTTTAACAGGTCTTGTAAGCTGTTTTCCGTTTAGGGAGTAAATTCCATTTTAGGTCTTGTTATAAACCATGAACTTCTCTGTGGTTATTAGAGTCAAACAGCTTTATATTTCCGTAGATTTTGTTGACTCCTTGTCTAGAGGGCTATTTGGAAATCTTGATGCTATTCATCTTTTGACATAATTGCTTTTTTAAATATCAGCATTATAATAACTCGTCTTTATTGCAAACAGAAGAAATTCAATATCCCATCAATTTTAAGAAGTAGTTTGTTTTGGTCACATTTTATCCATCAATGACAAGAAGTAGTTTGTTTTGGTCACATTTTATCCATCAATGACAAGAAGTAATTTGGTTTGGTCACATTTTATCAATCAATGACAAGAAGTAGTTTGGTTTTATTTTACATTTATCAATTATTATTTCATATTTATCAATCAATGACTAGAAGTAGTTTGGTTTGATTATATTTTATCAATCAATGACAAGAAGTAGTTTGGTTTGGTCATATTTTATCAATCAATGACAAGAAGTAGTTTGGTTTGGTCATATTTTATCAATCAATGACAAGAAGTAGTTTGGTCTATAATTTCATATTTTATCAATCAGTTCCAAGAAGTAGTTTGGTTTGGTCATTTTTTATAAATCAATGACAAGAAGTAGTTTGGTTTAAAATTTATCAATCAATGAATCATAAAATGCATAAAATGTAACATTGTAACATCAAGATCAATAAAGAATAATTGGCATAAAAATTGTTAAAAAGTTGATGATTTTTTTGTAAAACTTAATAATTATGTAAATTTTCTTTTTCTTTTTTTTTCATTTTCTTGCATTTTTTCTATCTTTTTATCATGAAATTTTAATATTAAATTTTCTATCTTTAAGGTTTGGCCATGCAAATTAGATTCTTACATTTTTTCGCATAATTTTTGCAAAAATTGGCCCTACGGTAAATTCGGTATATAGGATCAACAATGCCACACAAAAGTATAGCATTAAAAAATAGAAGATTTGAATATTATGGAGGTGCAAATTGGAACTTTTATAATGTATGGGTTGTGCAACAAGCTTTCCCAATCTACTAGATTTGTACCATCATAATTCACAAAAGATATTGTATCTTTTTTCTAACATTTATTATTCAAACAAAAACAGTTTATCTAGGTAACATGTTTGAAGCTGCAGCTATTTCCGGTTACAACTCACCATTAACAAAATTTTATCATTTTCTTACTTGAGGTTTACTTGCAACCTGTAGCTCTTGTAGGTGTGTCTGTCTTTATCTTGATGCTGCAGTTTCACTGGGCCCTGGTCTTTACTTTCCGTTAACCTTGGCAAGATGGTCCAGGGTCCTCTGCACGTGGGCTGGCATGGGAGGTAGACCGGATGGATGAAAACCGGTTTCGTCAGCTGTGTAGGAGACAGAGAACTGTTCACCCTCAGGGCTGATGAAACTATAACTTCCTTGAACTGAACCGACACGTCCCTGCTCTTCTCGCCTGGCTCCATCATCAGTGGAAAAGCTGTAAAAGATTGTGTTAAAAATAGTTTAAACGTCTTTTTAAAAAATAACTAGGTTTTTAGGGTAAAATTGCACCCTCATTCCTTTTAATAATCTTAGCTTTTTATTGCTTCTCTGAAAATCACGTAATTTTAAATCGTTTCCAAATTTTTGCGGATTTTTCTTTACTTAGCGCATTTTTCTGGGGTCATGCGAGTTACCACAAAAAAATTGGGCCTGATCAGCTCAGACATATAAAGTTTTTTAGAACACAGACAAGCCAAATATATAAATATATATATAAACAGACTTACTTGAAGTTGTAGTCTCCGTTCTCATTTGGTGGGTTGTTTAGGAGACCTAGAGCTGGAGCGGTTCCACCGGTTTGTCTGCCTCCTCTAGGTTCAACTGGAGCTGGAGCTGGAGCACTGAAACTGTCCTGCTGTCTGCGTCCCCCTCGTCGTCCTCCGTTTTGATGGCCATGAACTCCGTCACGTTCGTGTCTAAGGTTTTCATTAAGGTCTACTTCGGTAAAGAAATCATCCTGCTGTGGAAGGGTGAGCTCTACCTAAATGGAAAACTTTCAAATGGAATGTTGGTGTATTTTTGGAGACCCTCCTTCAATAGAGATATATGATCGATTTACCTTTCACACTCCACTACACAGGAGAATATTTGCGATACACGACTTTGTGAATTTGTTACCTTGTTATCCTCTAGTTTTGATTTTATGCACAAGCATGAGAGAAGCAATTTTATTTGGCTACTTTCTAAAAATTCAAATAATTTTTGTGTTTTTCATTATCTGTTTAGTAAGACAATTTATGATTCTAAACATGTAAGATTTAACCAAAAAGAACTTTAAAGGGACTGTCAGCTATCTCTCCTCCCTGTCAGCTTGATTTTAAGGGACTGCTACCTGTCTCTCCTCCCTGTCAACTGGATTTAAAGGGACTGTTACCTGTCTCTCCTCCCTGTCAGCTGGATTTAAAGAGACTGTTGCCTGTATCTCCTCCCTGTCAGCTGGATTTGAATGGAATGTTACCTGTCTCTCCTCCCTATCTGCTGGACTAAGATTAATAGCTTCCTCCAGGAATTCATCGTACAGTATATCTCTGTTAGGACGCTCCTGCATAATAATAATAATAATAATAATAATAATAATAATAATAATAATAATAATAATAATAATAATAATAATAATAATAATAATAATGATAATATCAATAATAGTAAAAGTGATTATTGAAGTAATATTGATAAAGAAATAGAAAATATTAACGTAATAAAAAAATTACGATAATAACATCAATAATAACAATAAAAGTGAAATCTAGAAAACCGTGGAATAGGAAAACGACATTAAAACAATGATTAAGTGTGTTTAATGTTTGATGTTTTATTAGTAACTTATAAAACCTCGTATTCACTGAAATTGGTCTGATTACTCTGCACAATTGCTGTTTCTCACTTTCATTGCACTAATTAAAGTCAGAACTGGAGTCTGAAAGTCGTCTTCTTATTCTAGAGTGTTTTGGTTTTCACCGTAAGTGTATTGATATCATTATGATAATATTGAAAATATTAAGTTAATAATAATAATAATAATACAAACAATTATAATAATTATGATAATCATTGTATTCAATTTATACTAGGGAAAATTTATTTTTCATTAGAAGAATAAAAACACAAAATGGATCAAAATATAAAATATTTTCAAAACTAAAAATTAATTCAAGCATTTTAATTGTCCATCGCAAACAGTTATTTAAACCAACTATCTTTCATTGTTACGTTCTCATTTAAATGGTTTATTTTTTTTACCGGAGGGATAAGGACCCTTGACTACCTTGACTACCTTGACTACCTTGACTACCTTGACTACCTTGACTACCTTGACTACCTTGACTGCCTTGACTACCTTGACTACCAATTGACTACTTTGACTACCTTGACTACTTTGACTACCTTGACTACTTTGATTACCTTGACTACTTTGAGTACCTTGACTACTTTGACTACCTTGACTACCTTGACTACCTTGACTACCTTGACTACCTTGACCTCTTTATATGGATGGAGAGTCAGTTTAAAATTACTCTTATAGTTTGTTTAAGTTTAGAAAACTAGAATACATTTCGAATCTTATCACAAAGGCACCCATTAACATTTATCTGAGAAACAATAAGATAGATATTGTTTTTCTACATCTTAAGAATTTGTTAATTTCCATTATTATCTCTGCTGTGTAGATCTGCAAGTATTTTTTAAAGATTTATTCACAATTAAGTATTATCAATTTCTAACAAGAAAAAACAAGGATATCTTCATCGATTTTGCTCAGAATAGGCTTTAAAAGTTTGATTTGATTTGATTTTAAATACAATTAGAGCTGAAAACTTTAGAATAGGATATCCTTAATCCAGATCATGTAATTAATCTGGAGATTAATAACAAGAGGAGAACAAGCATTTTTTAATCTCGAGATTAAGAAAAAGAGAAGATCAAGCATTAATCCAACATTCAAAAGTTGCCAGCTTAGGACTCTAAACTTGTAGCTACTAGATTATTGCCATTAATCTTCTAAATAATCCGCCAAATCACAATGCAAACCCAATGAGATATTTCCTAAAAACCTATTTAAAATTGTGAGCCACGTATTCTAACGAATTTAGCAATTGAGCTTTCAATTTTTTAAAAATCAAAATATTCCAAAATAGATATTTTTGAATTTGTTGTTGCTACCTTTCTATTTGGCCCGCAGACACCAACTGCAGAATCGAAGATGATTCTTTCATTAAATATCAGGCAGAAGCGCCGGCGCTAAACCCGACCTATGCTTTTAGGCGCCATCAGGGCTAACTATATCTTCAAACATAAATTTCAATTATTTTAACTAAATTCTAATATTCGTTAGAATGAATATACTTTTATAATTAGTTTATATTAACCCCTGTTCACCATTGAAGGCACACAGCAACACTTCCCCTCTAGACATGTTCAGTTGTACTTTTAGAAAAAAATATGGTCATTTTCATCCGTATATTTTCTAACAATATAAAAAGGAAGAGTTTTTACATGTAAAATATGTCTATTTTTATAGATATAAACACCATATTATCCTTCAAACATATCTATATATATTTACTTTGCACCCTGAAAGCCTAGTAATTGTAAATTTCCGAAACCCGTGCATGACTACTACCGCTAAAGTCAAGACCCGGACATGATTAGTTTATCCGTGAAAGGGCATTGTTTGTGATATGGGTATGGTGGGGGGAGGGCACAAATATAGAACATAACAGAAATGAAAAAGTGAAGGTCATAATATATATTTCTCTTCCTGAAACTAAAACAAATTATAATATATTTTAACATTGTGTACGGTTAATTATAATTTGTACGGTTGAAATCATGTACATCGCGTAGATATTGACAGTAAGTAGTATTTTGTACACTGTAGAGTTGTCAAGGTACTGTATAGTTAATAATCATGTACATTGCACAATGTACAGTTATAATCAAGTACACTATACAATTGATAACCATGTATGCACACTGTACCAGTGTACAGTTGATAATCATGTGAAGTAAAATTTATGTACCGTTGGTTTTGATTTATTATGTGTATATACAGATTTTTAAGTTAAACAGAATATTTTGCACATCATACTTTGATAAGAATAATAATTAATCAGTGCAAAGATGGTGATGATGATATAATTAGGTCAAGAAACAAACTAATTAACCAGTGCAGTGATGATGATGATATAATTAGGACAAGAAACCAACTAATTAACCAGTGCAGTGATGGTGATGATATAATTAGTACAAGAAACAAACTAATTAACCAGTGCAGTGATAGTGATGATATAATTAGGACAAGAAACAAAATAATTAACCAGTGCAGTGATGGTGATGATATAATAAGGAACAAGAAACAAATTAATTAACCAGTGCAGTGATGATGATGGTATAATTAGGTCAAGAAACAAACTAATTAACCAGTGCAGTGATGATGAGGATATAATTAGGACAAGAAACAAACTAATTAACCAGTGCAGTGATGGTGATGATGATATAATTAGGACAAGAAAAAAACTAATTAACCAGTGCAGTGATGGTGATGATATAATTAGGACAAGAAACAAACTAATTAACCAGTGCAGTGATGGTGATGGTATAATTAGGACAAGAAACAATGCATGTCTAGATCAAAAAGTCAAAGTTTAAAATCAAAGATTTACAAAAGTAATTTTTTGAAATAGGAAACACTTCTCATACGTTGTTTTTAGATTAAAATATGGGGGGGGGGGTNATAACACACATACATATATATATAGATTATAATAAAAATGTTCAAATCAATGTTGCGTCCTGAATTTACGCTTTTAGCTTGCAAAGTACAAATTAATCCATTAAAACAATCGAAATATATCAAGAGGGTGCAAAACATTCTTAAATACCAGATAGTAAACATGATTTTATTTTACCCACTTATCCTTTAAAGAATTTTATGCAATGTTTGGATTGAAAACTTATACAATATCCCAACTATTGGGAGCACATACAAAACATATCATCTGCACAAAACATATCCCAACGAAACATATCAAATCAAAACATATCTCTTACAAAACAAATATTGTCATAAAACATATCAAACATTAAATTGCACAGATAATAACAGAAAAAATACTTTAAAAATCAAAATATATGTTTTTTTATATGTTTAGTGGGTCGATATGTTATAATATTGATATGCTGTGATTTGATAGGCCTTGTTTTGATATGTTTCGTTGGGAGATCTTACATGTTGATATGTTGTGTGTGTGCTCCAATTATTGCAATTAGGAACAGAATTAAACAAATTTTACCTTTTAAATAAATTTTCTTCCAAAAATCAGATTTGTCAGAAAAGTTTTGTTTGACTAAAATATTCCTTTTGAAATCCTATTTTTAAGTTTTTCATAAAATGATACAAAATTATACACTGCTCTGTATTTCCACTGTCCAATCCCGAACTTCCTCACTAATATTTCTGATTTTAAAAAGCAGTTTAGTTCAGTTCTAAGGTAATAGGGTCGTTTGATGTACCATCAATTGACCCTCTATCCTAGAACTGCTGAACTTTTCCTACTTTTAATAAGGACGTTAAGCAGCGTGCTTCCTGCTGTATATCCTGTACTCTACGTAAACAATTAACTTGAGCTGAATTTCATTATAAAGAAAAAAATTATCCCCAAAGTATAGTTAAACTGCCTTTTTAAATCAAAAATACTTATAATTGATGAGGTAGTTCGGGATGAGAGCTTGAGAGAGCCCCACCCTTCAGAGGGATGAGAGCTACAGAGTCCGCTACCCCTCAGAGGGATGAGAACTACAGAGACCCCCACCCCTCAAAGGGATGAGAACTACAGAGACCCCCACCCCTCAAAGGGATGAGAGCTACAGAGTCCCCCACCCCTCAGAGAGATGAAAACTACAGAGACCCCCACCCCTCAAAGGGATGAGAGCTATAGAGACCCCCACCTCTTAAAAAGATGACAGCTCCAGTGACCCCCACCCCTCAAAGGGATGAGAGCTCCAAAGACCCCTACTTCTCAAAAGGATTAAAAAGGATTATAGCTCCAGAGACCCCAACCTCTCAAAAGGATGAGAGCTCCAGTGACCCCCACTCCTCAAAGGGATGAGAGCTCCAGAGACCCCAACCTCTCAAAAGGATGAGAGCTTCAGTGACCCCCACCCCTCAAAGGGATGAGAGCTCCAGAGACCCCTACTTATCAAAAGGATTAGAGCTCCAGAGACCCACACCCCTCAGAAGGATGAGAGCTGCTACAGAGACCCCACCCTTCACAGGGATGAGAACTACAAAGACGCCCTTCAGAGGAATGAGAGCTCCAGAGACCCCCCACCCCTTTTTTGATATTTTAAAAATAACTAGTCATCGTCATCTTCACACCGAGGTATAGTGCATTTTTCTCATCTATTCATCCGTCAGGACTCAGGGGCATACATATATAGGAATGAGGTGGGAGAAAACTCCTAAATTTTTTATTGCTCGCCCATAGCCTTCTAGGACCGGGGGGGGGGGGTAATTTGATTTTCATTTTCTTCCCCTATTGCAGTTTTTCAAGGGCTATTTTTC